AATGTCAGCTATATCTCAAAAATAATAAGAAAAAAATAAGATACTAAGTGGAAATGCAGTGAGTTTAGAAATAAATTCTGGAACAATTTTTTTAAATGGAATCACCCTGGCTGGTGTGCTCGGTGGTTTGGCATCAACCCATGAACCAGGTCAGGGCTCAATTCCAGTCAGGGCACATGTCCAGGTTTCGGCTTGATCCCCAGTAGGAGGTGTACAGGAGGCAGCTGATGGATGTTTCACTCTCACATGGATGTTACTCTCTCTTCCTCATCTTTCTTCTCTCTAAAACATCAATAGGCATTATCATCCAGGAAAAATAAGTCTCTACAGTCATTCAAGATTCATGCCCTTTATAAGAGTTTGTATTTACATAGGCCTGTAACTTTCTTATTAAATTTATTCCAATGGATTTTATAAACTTGTCACTATTGAAAGGAAAATCTTTAATGTGTTGCTTCAAATGCAAACTGGATATAGCCAACTTGGAGAAAAGCTTTTAACTTTTGTATATCTATCATATAACCAACCAAATACTTAACTGTTGTGGTGAATTACATTGCTTTTGTATGATTAAAGCAACCTTGCCTTCCACAGATAAACCCAACTTAATAACGATGCATAATCTTTTTTATACAATGTTAACACACTTTGCTTAGAATAGTAGTAATTTAAGAATAGTTCCACAAGAGTCTTAAATGAGGTTAGACTACCATTTTCCTTCCCTGTTCTAATATATATATCTCAAGGTCATGTTAAACTAAGAAATGGAAAATATTCACTCTTCAATCTTTTTCTTGGATTTTGAAAGTTGTTTACATTATGTCCAGATGTAGATCTTACCTAAAATTATTTGCTCTATCTCTCCCTTAACCTTGAGATGTTAATATTATGGGCTTCTCAAAAAACTGAATAAAACAATAAATTACTATGAACTGTATAAATATCACAGGTTTAGTAATAGAATGCTGCCAGCAGCACTTAAGTAATTATGTACCCCTTCCTCATTTTTAGCCATAGAGGCTATACAGTATATATTGGTTTTTAGGGCTATTATATTTTTCTTGCTTTTCTTTGAATGTTTGCCAATTAACTCTCTAACTTTACTCAATAGAGTATCACTTTGCTGATTTTTAAATTTTATCTAGGTGAAATCATATAGTGGTTATTCTTTTATATCTACTTCCTTACATTCAATAATTATCCAGGTCATTGCAAGTCCATTAGTTCATTCCATGCATGACCAAAACCATATTATCAATCTAACATCAATTTCTGATTTTTCAATTTCAGGTTATTATGTGTTATATAGCTATGAACATTCTTATACATGGATACTTGTATTCATATGCTTACATTTCTCTGGAATAAACATCTAAGTTTCAAACTGTTGGGTTTTAAGGTATGCATAATCTTAAAACCTCATTGGTTAATTTCCAAGTGTTTTGAAAATGGTTACACAATTCAGACTCCTACAAGCAATGGAAGACTTTTCTGCTTTCCATCTAGGCCAAGCCAATATGGTGCATGTGCAATGAATGGTATCTTATTTGTACTTTCTTATCCTATATAATAAAGAGGTAATATGCAAATTGACCATCACTCCAACACACAAGATGGCTGCCTCCATGTGGACACAAGATGGCTGCCACAAGATGGCCGGCAGGGGAGGGCAGTTGGGGGTGATCAGGAGGCAGGGGCAATTGGGCCAGCAGTGGAGCAGTTAGGCATTGATCAGGCTGGCAAGGGAGGGCAGTTGGAGGTGATCAGGCTGGCAGGGGAGGGCAGTTAGGGGTGACCAGGCCTGCAGTGGAGGGCAGTTAGGGGCAAACAGGCTAGTAGGGGAGTGTTTAGGGGTGATCAGTCTGGCAGGCAGAAGTGGTTAGGGGCAATCAGGCAGACAGGCGAGTGATTGGGAGCTAGCAGTCCTGGATTGTAAGAGGGATCCCAGACTGGAGAGGATCCAGGCTGGGCTGACACACACACACACACACACACACACACACACACACACACACACCCATGCACAAATTTCGTGTACGGGGCCTCTAGTTATGTATAAAAACATTTAATAAGCTTAAAAAAATCCATTTGAATTTTCATTTGTGAAATGCCTGGTTTTCTATAGGAATGTTTGGATTGTTTTTTTGTATTCTGGATGAGTTCTTGTCAATTACATATATTATGTACATGTATTCTGTGACTTCCACTCTTACGTCTTTTCAAACTAGTTCTTAATTTTAATGTAGATTTATCACTTTTCCATAATAATTTTAAACATGTTAACATATTATGGAAAAGTGATAAATCTATATTAAAATTAAGAACTAGTTTGAAAAGACGTAAGAGTGGAAGTCACAGAATTATAGATTTAGGTCTATAATTATAAATTTAGGTCTATAATTCCCTTGGAACTCATTTTTGTATAGTGAAAAAAAAAGAGATGTTTTATTTTTTTAAATAAAGATACCCATTTTTCTCAGAACCATTTATTGAGTACACTCTTTTCCCACTAAGTTCCATTTTTACCTGATTAAGGGTTTTCAATTGTAATCTATTATTGTGTTCAGTATACCATGAGCTCTAACATCTCACTGTCTTCATTTCCACACTTTATAATTAACCTTGTTTCTGATAGAGCAGGTCCTTGTACTTAAACTGACTGGTTATTCTTACTGCTTTGTATTTCTGTATTAATTTTGAGAACAATTTATCATGGCATACACACATAAAAACTGTCAGTATTTTTATCAGCTTTGTTTGAATCTATAGTTCAAAATGGGCAAAACTGCTATTTTTCAATATTGATGTATCTAATCCATGACTATGATAAAAGCATCTCTATTAAGGTGTAAAATAACTCTATAGTCTTCTCTATAAAATCTTTACATTTTCTATTAGATTATTAAATACTGCAATAATTTTTATGCTATTGTAACAGGTAATTTAAAAAAAAATATTTTCAGCATCTTTGTGGCTGGTGTTAAGAAATACAATCCTATATAATAAAAGCCTAATATGCTAAGTGTCTGGTCATCCAATCAACCAAAGTGTGATATGCTACTGATATGCTAAGGGCACTCAACCGCTCCCTATGATATGCACTGACCACCATGGGGCAGACACTTTAACTGGTAGGTTAGCCGTGCCATGAAACCTTCCCAGGGTCCCTCCCTGGCTGGCCAACCTCCTGTGTCCCTCCCTGGCCCCGATCATGCACTGGTGGGGTCCCTTGGCCTGACCTGCACCATCTCACAATCAGGGACTCCTCAGGGGATGTTGGAGAGCTGTTTTCAGTCCAATCCCACAGGCCAGGCTGAGAAACCCACTGGTGCACAAATACATGCACCAGGCCTCTAGTTGATAATATTTGTATACTGATTTTTGTATCAGATTTTAACCTCATAACTTATTTGTGTACATCCAATATGTTTCTAATGTCATACTTTATGCCATTTCCTCTCACAAAAAAATACTACATTTTTTGGAGGGACTCATAGTTCTATTCCCAATAAAATGATAAAAGCAGTGTACATCCAATATGTTTCTAATGTCATACTTTATGCCATTTCCTCTCACTTGAAATACTACATTTTTTGGAGGGACTCACAGTTCTATTCCCAATAAAATGATAAAAGCAGTGTAATTTCTACCAGAAAAATGCATATGTGCACATAAACATAATTTTATATAACTATCATAGAATCCACTATTCCCATTCTGCAAAGTAGAGACCAGATTAAAAATTAAAACACAAAGTACACTCAGGTCTTAAGTATTTATTTACAAAGTTTTTACTAATACAACTGCTTTTAAAATATAGCAATAAAGTGGTACATACATGGTATAGAAAAATATCTATATAGTCAGTTAAACTATTAAGAAGATAACCAAGAACTGTTAAATGTCTATTAAATGTTTGTAGTAATCCCTAAACAGGAAATAAAAAATTAATTTATTTGTAAGTACTTGATTATTTTGTATTGCTGACTATAAAAAAAAAAAACTATTGTGAAAAATAATATCAAGGTTTGAAAAATATTGTACAACAGCAAATAAATGTATTTCAATTTTACATTTTATATGGATGACAATAAAAAGTTGACCATACACATATCCATATAATATTTGACAGCAGATTAATAAAACTAATGCCAGTTTTAGAGTTATTTCATAAAGAGTATAAACAATTTTTACTACAATTTTCCCATGGTCATCCTTCAAAACAAAACCCCACAAACTATCAAATTAATCACGATTTGATAGTGGCTAAAAATCACCATAAATATAGGCTCTGAAGCAGCTACAAGTATACACCAATATCATGTTAGTGCAAAATATACATTATTTTTTTAATCTTTCTGTTCTTATCTCAATTTGCAAAAGTATTTTGAAACAATCTCCTTTAACTGTTATTCTTTTTAATAAGGGCAGATCTTTTTAAATCCACATGCTAGATCTTAAAGACACTTAAGAATAAATTAAACTTCAAATGGAAGTTAACTTCTTCAAACAGCACATGTGAAACAAGACCCCACTATTTAATCAGTTATCTATGCAGGTTTTTACTATAATTAAGTACTGTGATATCACCTAATTTCTGCACAAATTGAGATACACAAATATGTATTTCCAAAATTCATTCATGGGCACTATACAAAGAAATCCACAGGAATATTTGGCATCCACTAATAAATTTATTTACTGTATGTGTCAGGTTGCAGCGCTACTGGTATCATGAATAACTTAAGATATTGGTCTTCAAATGAAGGATTCAAGCAAAGAGAAAAATTACATCAAAATCAATATAATCTTTTAATAAATTAACTTGGAAAATGTAAGAAGTTAACCTTACTCTTTCAAGAAGAAAATCAACTGGCATAGTTTAGTGTTATCTATCTTCTTTCTGGATTTCATCAAGTGCTTATGACAAGTACCATAGAAGTCAGTTCCTTATTTGTATATGAGGTGTTAAGTTTCTATAAATTAAGATTTTTTAAGCTTCATATCAAATGAGTTGTAGATCTACTTAAAGTATGACTTCTCCTTTCAAAGAAGGAAGGAAGGGTGACAAGGGAAGGCGATGGGATACCCTGTAAAGATAAGACAAATATTTTATACTTAAATTTTTTCTTTTTAAAATTTGTAACATACAGTTATGCATCATGCATATCATTTTTACATTTCACAAAATACCATAACAATTTAAAGACATCTAAAAATTCTAAACTCTGTAAATAAGCAAAAGAATTTAAAACTGGAGGGAAGGAAACTTCAGCATTTTTAAAACAAAACAAATGGATTCACTAGTTAGCTACATATCAACTCACTGGAATAGATATTGGCTTATTGCTAGTAGTGGTACCTAACTTCTATGAGATATTATATTAATGTATCAGTGTTTCAGGTTATTAAAAAAATTACAAATAGTAAACAAGTTTTGAGGTAAAAAGACAAACCTTAGTGGTTTCTTCTTAATTTAATCATAAAGCAAAATTAAGAGAAATTATTTTATGACAAATAAAATTTTCTAAGATTGAAAGTCATATACTCCTAAAGAGGTTTTGGATTATGTATACAACCTATATTTATATATGTACGTTTGTGATTTTGCTCCATATAAAAATTGAACCCTAGCTGGTTTGGCTCAGTGGACAGAGTATAGACCTACTGACTGAAGGGTCCTGGGTTTGATTCTGGTCAAGGGCACATGCTTGGATTATGGGTTCAATTCCTAGTAAGGGGCATGCAGGAGGTAGCCAATTGATGGTTCTTTCTCATCATTGTTGTTTCTATCTCTCTCTCCCTCTCCCTTCCTCTCTGAAATCAATAAAAATATATTTTAAAAATAAAATAAATTGAGCAAAACAGCAGCACTTTTGTTAATAGAGATTATTCAGTTACTAAGCTGTCTAAAGTTGTTTCAGAGGTCAAAGCTAAATTTCTTATAAGAGCTTTTAACAATAACAAATAGGTATTCACAATACAAAAAAAAAAAATTAGTGTTTTATTTTAGCATATATGAAAGGCTATGTCTAACTGACCAACTATGTTCTCACCTACAAGATAGCAAAATGAAGTGTTTAAAGAGTTGTGTTGATCAAGTATTACTATTCAAGTGATAACAAAGCAATGATTTGAGTAGAAAGTAAAAAAATTTTGATTTGCTAAAAAGCATAAATTTTATAAAATGCCATAAATCTAAGATTAAGAATCAGATTTGGAACATGAACCCACTTTACATGGCAACTGTTATTATTCTTTAAAATGTTCACTTTCATAAATAAGAAAATTTCTAATAGTACTGATTTTTTTTTCTGAACTTGAGCATAATTACCTTAAAAAAATATTTTTATGTGCCAATCTGCATTAAGCAGTTATAAAATTGTGAATTCAAAAGTCCCCACCCACCTAATAAGTAATTCAGTGGAATAAGAATACTTCCTTTTTTCCCAAATACAATTTTCAAACAGCTAATAAGCTCACATTAAACTTGAGGCTTGTTTCCATTACTGGTTGGTATTATCTCTTAATTCTTCACAAATACCAAAGATGACTTGGATAGAACTTTTTTTGAAATTTGAAAAATCAATATTTTCTTTCAGTGTCTCTGAGAAACTAACTCGTGAGGCAGAATGACGTATAGATGGGAACCAGGAGTTTTGAGAGTGCCCACCAGTAGAGTATGAGCACTGAGCATAAACAGGCTTAGAAAATCCAATTGTACTGCTTGTGGAAACTGAATGGATAATCTGTTAGAACAGAAATAAGTAATGGAGAAAAAGACATGAATGTCTGAAAGATATTTTAGGTACTTCTTATTTATATTTATATTGTCTATATAAAAGTGACAAAACCACAAATAATACTAAAAAGTTTCTATAAAATCGTTACTTTCATTTGAAAAGCAATGTTTATAACAGTTACTATAGGAAATAAACAAGGGACAGTCCTTTGGCCTTCAGAAAGCTTATAATCTATTTCAATAAATAAATGCTATTTTTTGCCATTTTTAATATATTTTTCAATTAATTTAATATATTAATTAAATTTCTATGCATGTTTACATTATCAGCTAAGTATTGGAAATTTAACCTTGATCAAATACCTTTATAAACATGCTCTGCCCTAGCTGGATGGCTTGGTTGTTTAGAGCACCCTTCTGCACACCAAAAAGTTGTGGGTTCAATACTCAGTCAGGGCATATAACCTAGGTTTTGAGCTTGATCCCCAGTTGGGGCACGGGGCACGGGGCAGCTACAGAAAGCAAAAACAATGATGTGTTTTCTTTCACATTGGTGTTTTCTCTATCTCTAAAATCAATAAAAACATATCCTCAGGATTAGAGGATTTAAAAAAAAAAAAATCCATATAGACATGCTCAGAGTCAGCTGTAACTCTTTGATGTATTAATTAAAGTCTTAACTAGCTTTTTTAAAAATTTTTACTTGAGGGTATTACAGATGTGCTACATTATTCACCATTGCCCACCCTACCTGCTTCCTGCCCCAACACAAGCCTATACACTTTGATGTTTGTGTCCATGGACTATGCATATCTACATATAAATATAAAAGCCCAGCAACCGGAACAGTGGAACCACTAGAACGATTGGTGGCTATGATGCACACTGCACTGCGGCAGCCAGCAAGCCTGATTTGGGCCCCGACCAGTCCCCAACACCCTGAGGTCAAGGGCGGGGCCAGCTGCCAACCACTGTGGCCCTTTCCCGTAGCTGGCCCCATCCCCAATCAGCCCCAACACCCCAATCAGAGGCGGGGCTGATCAGCCAATCACCCACGACCCCTCCCCTCACCAGCCTGGCCCTATGGGCCTCCATCAGGGCAGCCGGCCTGACTTCTCCCCACCCCCTGTGCACAAATTCGTGCAACTGGCCTCTAGCATATGTATATAAGTTCTTTGGTCATTCTCTGCTCACCAATCCCAATGCCCCTTCTCTCTGAGATCCCTGTCTGTGCCATGCTTTCATGCCTCTGGGATGATTTTGTTCATCAGTTTATTTTGTTCATTAGATTCCAAAGTCTGTATAAATTTTATATAATAAACGGTAACCATTTATAAAACACTAGAGTAGCCTTGGGGGTGACTACTCACCATAAATTGCCCATTTGGGGATTTATTATTTATTACACCACCCCTTTTTGTTCACAAGATCCAAGTCCAGAGTTCAAGAAAGGTATTAATGGTGCAAGAAACAGCCCATTTAAAGCCTCTAGGTGGATTAGCTTAGAGTTTTTTAAGGAAAGCAAGAAAGCCAATGTGGCTGAAATAGGGGGTGTGTGTGGCAGGGAGAGACATGCCTTAAAGGAAGGGTGGAGGAACAGAGTATGCCTGCCTTGGAGAGGTCTGATAGTCTAAGGATGGGGAGAGATAAATGAGGGCTGGGAACAACATGGGTTCTCTCTAGCAGCCTTGAATAGGGTGAAAGAGGATGGGATGAAGGAAGCAAAATAAAAATAAAAAAATACTAGAGCTCACACCGAGTGCCAAGGACTGATCAAAGCACTTTGCGTAAATTAACTTATTTAATCCTTACAACTGCTACTTTAGATTCATTTTACAGATAGTGAAATTGAAACAGAGAGCTTTAAAAATGTATCAAAAGCCACAGAGCTAGTAAATAGCAGAGTTGGGATATGATCATATGAGTTCTAGAGTTCATGCTCTTAGCTACTACTTAAAATGCCTCTCATTATATAATCACATCATATAAGAAAATGTGTGTGTGTGTGTGTGTGTGCGCGCGCACCATAAAGTACTGTTATTAATCTCTTTTCCCTCATCTGCAAAAAAGTGGAGACAAGAGAACAAGAAACTTGCTAAAGGACACATAATTAACAGTCACTTGCTTTTATTAACTTTAGTAGGTTAATAATTTTATAATCATACATCACTCATATATCTAATGACAACAATAAATGTTAGAAATGTCCTTAATATTTATTGTCTAACTAGAGGCCCAGTGCACGAAATTTCTGCACAGGAGGGGTAGTCCCTTCAGCCCAGCCTGCACCCTCTCCAATCTGGGACCCCTCAGGGCATTTCTGACTACTGGTTTAGGACCAATCCCTGGGACATCTCTCTAACAATCCTGGACTGCTGGCTCCTAATTGCTCACCAGCCTGTCTGCCTGATCACCCTAACTGCCCCCCTGCCAGCCTGAATGCCCTCAATGCCTTTACATGCTGGCCTGGTTGCCCTTAACTGCTCCCCTCCCCCACCGGCCTGGTCACCACTTACTGCCCCCCGTCCCCCAGCTGGTCTGGTTGCCCCCAACTACACCCCTCCTCCTGGCTTGGTCACCCATAACTACCTCCGCCCACCAGCCTGGTTGCCCCTCATGGTCCCCTCTGCTGGTCTGATCGCCCCCATGCAGCCTGCTTGTTCAGTCATATGGTCATCCCTCACTAACCACCCGCCAACATGGTTTTAGGCAGCTCTCTTATGGGGGTGTCACGGTCAATTTGCATAGTACCCCTTTATTATATAGGATACTTCAGACACCATTGGGAATTTGTATTTTTCAGAACACATTTTAAAAATATACATATGAACTCAGAACACATATCATCCTGTGAAGTCTACAGTTTCAGAAATTATATTCTTATCACAGAAACAGTAAAAAGAATAAAACTCAGTCTATGTTATAACATTGCTGAGACCCATGTGTACAAACAGAACCATTGCTATTTATGTTAATAAAGTGAGAGGCCAGATTGAAACACACTTTTTTCTTTAGAGACTTTAGAACATGTCTCAATATGAATAAAATTTATTAAATAAACTACATATTAAGTTTGTCTCTATAAACTACTTATTAAGTATGTCTCTATTTCTAGTTCATTAAAGTGATGTTTCCTCAGTTATCTTTACCTAACAAAATATGTCAGAAGTTAAGAAGTATTAAAAAAAAAAAAAAAAAAAAAGGAGATATTAGATTTCCATCTTTAAAATTGGCAAATACCATACCAACTTCCATAAGTGGGAATAAGTCATTAGTCCATCAAATCAAAGTCACTTACTGCTAATGATGATGTGCTAGACATACGACTCATTACGTGCTTGTCATTGCTAAGAGGACTTCTTCCCTCCACTGAACTTTGGGATGTCATAAGAGCCCTTCGTAGAACTCTTCTTGGAGTTTTGGAGAAAGAGAATGCTCTTGTAACCTAGAATTTTAAGAAGTTACAATTAAGCCTAGAAAAGTCTAATATAACTAATCAGAACAATTATACATAAACAAAGCTAAATACACATCAAAAGTTTTTGTACAAATAGTATTATCATAGATTTAGAATCTCTTTGGACAAAACACTGAGAAAATGTAGTACAGTAATAGTCCTCACTCAACATTGTGGTCCTCAATATGTTCTACAACTTCAAGTGAAATGACATATAATAAAACCAATTTTATCAGAGGCTAATTGATATAAACAAGAGTTAATTTCCTATAGCATTCTCATCAACATTATAATGAAACAATGCTGAACATTATTTAAAGACCTGCTGTATACTCTCATTCTTAGAACAGGACAGTCAAATGGGAGAAAAAAAGTACAAGGATAAACCTGGCATGGGAGACAAGAAACGTGGCTTCTTGGTGTCTGATTCCACTAAGATTTAGTTGTGAGATCTTTAGCCCAAAGCCACTTGAACCTCAATTTCCTTTTTGAAGAAGTGAAGGAGTTAATTTGACTCCCCATTTAACATATTTATTTACCATATATCAAACATGCTAACCGTAAGAGATATAAAGATGGCTAAAAAAAGTACAAAGCTTCCCTTCAAAAGCAAAAACCTGTAAATCTAGCAATAGACTATGGCTGCAAATTTCACCTAGACTATTAATATACCTTCTTTTCTATTTTAAAAAGGCTCAATATTCTTATGTAGTCCTCAATAAAGTAAACAGGGAAGTTATCTCTGATAAGGTAAGTAGGGAAGTTATATACTGTGTGGTCAGGGTCTCTGTCGTGTGCCCTTTGCTGAACAATATCTGAGGAGATATTCAAGATGAATGCACACAAACCTACATCTACAACACCATCAATACATTTCTACTGAAGTAGAGTTCATAGAAGTATCACTATAAAAAGAATATGAAGGTAACAGGTTGTTATAATTACTGTGCCAAAGAATTCACTAAACTAATATCTCTGTGGGCCATTTCCTAAGCCCTCAAACCATCTTCGTTTTATAGACTATCTTTACACTGGTGTTTCTGGCAATATTTTAATGTAGTCTAAAAAATACTTTTTGGAGATATGTTAAATAATAATGCCAGGGGACTCACCCTTTTTGAAGTCTTTTTTATTGCTCTAGATGCTCTACTCAATGTACTATCCATATCTTTTGTATTTACTTCAAAGGTTTCTGGATCAGCAGTGTAAATAAGATTTTCCTGTTCAAAAAATAAACATTTTTATTATTTTTAAAATAAAATTTTAGAAATATACAACTGTTTTTTAAAAAAATCAAACCTTGCCGAGACCGGTTTGGCTCAATGGATAGAGCATCGGCTTGGAGACTGAAGGGTCCCGGGTTCAATTCCAGTCAAGGGCATGTACCTTGGTTGGGGGCATATCCCCAGTAGGGGGTGTGCAAGAGGCAGCTGATCGATGACTCTCTCTCATCGATGTTTCTAACTCTCTATCTCTCTCCCTTCTTCTCTGTACAAAATCAATAAAATATATTAAAAATAAATAAATTAATTAAATTAAAAAATCAAACCTTTAAGTTCTTATCTTCATATGGGAGTATATATAAAAGAAGCAACTCAAGGTTTATGACATACTTGACATCATTTCTATTCTAAAATGTATTAATTGAAGGATAGTGAAAAACAAACACTCAGTAAATAAAAAAATCCATTGCAAGGACAATGGAGACCAAACCAACTGGAAATCCTATGTAATAAAGATGAATATGCAAATTGACCAAACGGCAAAATGACTGGTCACTATGATGCACACTGCCTATAAAGGGTCAGATGCTCAATGCAGGGGCTACCCCCTGGTGGTCAATGTGCTTCCACAAGGGGAGTGCTGCTCAGCCAGAAACCAGACTCACAGTTGATAAGTGCAGAAGTGGTGGCCTCTCCTGCTTCTGCAGCAGCATTAAATATGTCTAACGGCTTATGTCCACTCCTCATGAGCCTAAGCCATCAGTCAGACACCCCTTGAGGGTTCCCAAACCGAGAGAGGGCATGGGCCAGGCTGAGGAGCCCCTTCCCATCCACAAGTGCATGAATTTTGTGCACCAAGCCTCTAGTATATATATAAAATCTTACTAGCAACCCTAAAACTAGTAAGTTAGAAATTTAGCATAATTTATATGTTTAAGAATAATGTTTGCTATAAAATCAGTATCACAAAAATTAATTTAATTAGAAAAACCAAATCCACCCTGCTTTCTCTATCAGAAAAAAAGACCCTCTCTTTTCAACTTGATCTACTTGCTAAATGACTTAGTTGCTTAATCTAATCATACTCAAGTAATTTATAATTATCAGTATCTTTTAAAAACAAATTTTTTCTGATTTTTTTTTTAATCACATCATAAAATGTTTGGGGGAGAATTTTAAAATAAAATTACCCATAAATACTACTAAACATCTATTTATATTTTGGTATATTCCTTACAAATATTTTCCTACACCCATAAAATACTTTATTGTAACAAAATTGGAATCATAGTTTTCTTTAAAATAGGTTTAATTTGTTCCTTATAAGGCTATTCCTAGATTTATACTAAAATTTTCTAAATGCATACCAAATCTTACTGGAAAGGGGGCAAGGATCTTCTTTATTTCCTACTTTCTAGTTGGTTACTGCTGGCAAAGATGAAAACTATTGATATGTATGCATTTATATTTACTTGGCTACTTAACTGTTATAAGTGTTAGTATTATAGTTTTCAATTGGTTCTTGCCAATTATATAGACAATCATGTGAAAAATAACTCTGAATAGTTAACATCTCTTGCCAATCCATGAGAAACAAAGCACTCAGGACTATGATTTAAGGTCTGGCTAACTCTGAGTCTCTCAACATCCCCACTCACATACTCCTTCCAGGTTTTGCATTATTAAGATTTCCTACACACAGGAGATGAGATCACATTTCCTAAAATGCTGTACATATGGCATCATAAACTAAGCAAAGCATTAACTTTAGTTTTATGAACTTAATTTTGTTTTCATTTCATTCAATTTTTAAGTTTAATTTCATTGCAATTTGATTTCATCCAATGAATAATATAATGAAAATCTATCTCATAGTAGGTTTACATGGTCCTAGACATAGACACAAATTCAGAAAAAGTTTTGACACAGAACCATTTTCTTCTATTATGTCTCATTTTTAAACTATAAGGTAATGTACCAATCATTACTCTGAATTGGTCAACAAGTGACATTGTTTTATAACTGATAGCTAAAAAAATCCAATCAAATTGTCAAAAAGCATTTGGAAATAGTAAGAGAATTAATTTAATAAAAATGATGGGTTACAAAATTAACATACATACATCAAATATTTACCCATATAGAAAAACAACAAAAACAGCTAAACTTATTCAATTATGATAGTATCTAGTATCATTGTGTCCCCTTCCTTAGTCTGTGCCACAGGGATTTCCTCAAACTTTGTAATCATGTTTATAGTTTAGAGTATCTGATTTGGTCAAATTAAAATGATACCAATAACAGGCATTTATATTAACAACTTACTATATATGGCTAATAACCAGCAGAATAATAATAATTTTAAATAGAAATTATATAAACTCCAGCATAAATATTATTGGCTCAAAAGCAAAAACTCTTCCTGAATATGTTATATCTTCAATCTATTCCTCGTGTATTTAGAAATTCTAGTTTCATAATATTGAATATTATTAATATTGAATGAATACTGTTATTAATAAATAATTAATGATAAAAGTACTGAATGGTAGCATAAGACAATTAATTATCAAGTTACTTCTAAGCTATTCAAATTGGGGGAGGCAATGTAACATTGCTTAAATTCGTTACTACCGTAGAAATATACTTTTGACATTAGAGGTTAGAAATCTATAATGGCTTCAGCAAAGCCACCATCCAACCTCAGGTGACATATAAGCCTTAAGAGTATAGTGTGGACAACGAAATTAAAGGTTACATGTTGGCAAGAGACTAAAATAAAATACCTAAGTATTCTGAGAAAAAAAATTTCAACAAATTAAAACTTTAACCTTTAAATTTGGAATAATAGAATATGTTATGGGACATGAGAAGAAAAACTATGGAGAGTTTTAACCCAGAATAAGAATTCCCAGAATCTAATGTTAACTTTATGTTCTTACCCTTAGTTTTCACATGTAAAATAATGGTATTAGATTACATGTTCTTTCAGCCTGAAAATTGTTTAAAGTATTATATAAGTTTCCCTGAAAATTTGAATTCTGAAGGCATTTACAAATGGGCATGACAAATGAAATAAGTCTAGAATAAAATAGTTATACTTATTTTACTCTTAATTATTTAAGCTCCAATTATTTAGGGCACCAATGGATACATAATAAATAGAACAGAAACTATTGATTCAAAGAATCAGATATTTTTATTGCTTATATCTTTTGTATACACACACACACACAAATGTACACACACACACACACACACACACACACACACACAAATATTTAAAAGTACTTTCTCTTCAGCATGGCAAATGTTCTCAAATGGTAACACACTGACTCAGGACTTTTTAAAAATTTACTCTCTGCAGTATTTTAAATGTGAGAAATATCTCAATTGAAGTCAATATGTGAATTTACAGACATATTTCTTAGTAACAAAATGTGACAACTTGAAAAACATTCTCTTTAAGACAGTATAAATCAGTACATAGTTAAATGTTTGCTGCCATCTTGTGGCTAATTTTACTTTATGAAATTTGTTTCATTAGTTGTTTATATACAAACTAGAGGCCTGGTGCACGAAATTCATGCATGGAAGATGGGTATCCCTTCAGCCCAGTCTGCATCCTCTTGCAATCCGGGACCCTTCAGGGGATGTTGAGCCGAAACATGTAGCTGGACATCCCTCTCACAATCTGGAATGCTGCATGCACCAGTGACCATACATTTCATACAGGTGAAAGGCATCTTGCTGTTGTATGGGCAGCCACATTTTTTTTGCCTTGATATAAAGTAGTACATAATATGATCTTTCTGAGGCAGTAGTACCATTTTCCCCATTTTATGGGTGGAAAAATTGAAGCAATAAAAGTTAATTGGCTTTGTCACACAGTTGTGTCAGAATCGGGGCTGACCACAAAATGTGCAAGCCAGAGTCCATGCATGTCATCGCTGCAACATCTTGTTTTTTCAGTGTTAGAGTAGCGTTGACATGTTTTAATTTTTAAATCTAAGACACTGTTCCTCTAGGCCTAGCTGGCAATAAGGGCAATCTGTGGGGCAACCGACAGGTGGGGTGATCAGGAGGGGCCTCTGCTGGCGCCTGCTTTGGCTGGCAGCCTGGCAACGCCCAATGGCTGGTCCTGACTCCCAATTGTAGCTGCTGGTCATCTGCCCCTTGGTAGTGCATGTCATAGTGACTGTTCATTCTGCTGTTCAATCGATTTGCATATTAGGGTTTTATTATATAAAACTAGAGGCCTGATACAGGGATTTATGCATTGGTGTGGTTCCTTGGCCTGGCCTGTGGCCTCTAGCATCTGGGACACCTCAAGAGATGTCGGATAGCTGGTTTCAGCCTGATCCCCACAGGCCTGATCCAGACAGGAGGGAGCAGATCCTGTGAGTTGAGTGTCTGTCCCCCGTGGTCAGTGTGCGTCAAAGTGACTGGTCAACTGGTCATTCGGTACTTAGGCTTTTATATATACTAGAGGCCCAGTGCACGAAATTTGTGCATAGGTAGGGTTCCTAGGTCTGCCAGCAATCAAGGCCAATCGGGGCCTTCCAGCTGCCAACCGGGGCCTTCCTTTGTTCTGTGCCGCCCCTTGGTGTTCAGCACACATCATAGTGAGCAAACTACTGGTTTTCCCAGTCAATCTCCCGAAGGGGACATATTACATATTAGCCTTTTATATATACTAGAGGCCCGGTGCACGAAATTACGTCCACTTTGGGGATGGGGGGATCCCTCAGCCGGGCCTGCACCCTCTTGCAGTCCAGCCCTCAGGGGATGTCCAACTGCTGACTTAGACCCACTCCCTAAGGGAGCAGTTGGACATCCATAATACTGCCTCGGAGGCAGGAGAGGCTCCCACCATTTGCCAGCCGTGCGTCCAGCTTCTGGCTGAGTGGAGTTCCCCTGTAAGAGTGCACTGACCACCAGGGGGCAACTCCTGGTGCATTGAGCATCTTCCCCTTGGTGGTCAGTGTGCATCATAGCGACCAATCACTCTGCCATTCGGTGGATTTGCATATTTATTATATAGGATAGATAGATTCTAGGATTATTAGCTATCTTGTAGCTGGTAATTCAATAGATTTCAAGAAAATTTTTCCATTAATTGTTAATGCTTCAGTTTTATAGTTATAAATTTAAAAAGGACTGCTTAAGCCATCTACTCTGACATCTTGATAAATGAAGGAGTAATTTCTAAAATAGGCAAGCACTATAAAGCAAGGATACATATTTTATATGAATATCTAGACCTAAGAAAAAAAATTCTTCCATATAATGAGCGATTTTGTAAACTCTGTAATAAAAACTGTCTCCATCATTTTTCTAGCCAACATTGTTTTATGCATTAACATTGCATCACTTCTATACACCATTTTGTGGAACAAACATCCTTTATTTGCAACATATTTTTGGCCTATAGAAATGTTCAAAAGCAAAAAATAGTTTATTTATTGTTCTAAACATTTAGGTAGGACTTTCTAGGCATGTATTATCTACTTTATAAACAATAATAATTATACCTCAATACCTTTCATAAGAAGAATGATAAAATAAACATTTTTCTGTCACAGGAATGTCCAAGCAATGTCAGTTACAGTACTTCTGTACTGAAAAGGGTCATCTATCAATACATTATCTTCGTATCATTTGTATGTGTTTTATAATTTGAGAACATATGCCATGTTGAAGAGAAGGTATTTTTAAATATATATACAAAAGATGCAAAAGACCAAAAAAAATCTGATTCTTTGAAACAGTAGTTTCTGTCCTTCTAATATATATTCATTGGTGCCCTAAATAATTGGAGCTTAAATAATTAAGAGTAGAATAAGTATAATTATTTTATTCTAGGCTAATTTCATTTGTCATACCCATTTGTAAATGACTTAAGAATTAAAATTTTCAGGATGAAATAACATTTAATCTATTATCATTATTTTACATGTGAAAACTAAGGCCAAGAGCATAAAGCTAACATTAGATTCCAGGTATCCTTATTCTTGTAACTTTCCATAGTTTTTCCCATTATGGATGTGATGTCTCATATTCTGTTATTTCAAATTTAAAGATTAAAGTTTTAATTTGTTAAAAATATTTTTCTCAGAATACTTAGGTATGTATTTTTGGTCTCTTTCTAACTTGTAATCTTTAATTATGCTGTCCATACTCTTAAGGCTCATACATCACCTGAAGTCAGATGGTAGTTTTGCTGAAACCATTAGATTTTCTTAATCTCCAATATGAAAAATAATTCTATTAACAAATGAATTTTTTTAATTAACTTGTTATTTGTGCAAAAATGATGGTCTATATCTATAGCGTGTCTCACCATTAATCATGAAGAAAGTAAATTACTTTTTATAGAACCTACATTTTATCCAAGAGCTACTATAGGCTACCTAAATTCTGATAGTTGTTTAACTTTAATAATTTGAATTTCTCATGTATCTTTACACTAATCTATATAGGGTGAAAATAATCACATATTCTATATGTATTTATTCACAATTCACATTTGATTTAAGAGGCTGTGCTGAGAAAACTGGATTGGCTACATGTCTGATAGGAAACACAACTTGCTTTATCTCATTATTGCTAGCAGTTAGATAAGGGAACAGCAGAACAGAATACCCTCTATTTATAAGAGCCAGGCCTGAGAGCTTCCATGAAAATCCCAGGTTACAAGTCCCAAAAGTCTCACCCAATCAGAGCCAGAGAAGCTGTAAGGTTAAAAGGGCCTTTCCATATAAAATTGAGTGTTTTATGTATCTATACTTTTAAAATATCTTTTCCGAAACAATTTATTAAGCCAGCTTTCCTTAATACACACAAAACTAAAACTCTCTTGTAATCACAATTAGCAATTAACAAGTTATTAGAAATCTACAGCTTTAGCTTGAATGTACTGCCATGGAGTTTTAACTCTTCATAATAGACTAGAGGCCTGGTACATGAAAATTGATGCACTGGAGGGGGGAGTCCACATCCCAGCCTGGGAGCCCTCAGGGGCAGGAGGTGACCTAGCAATCAGGGGAAGGCGACACCCCATGATACTTCTGCTGTTGCCACTGCCAACAGTGCAAGTCTCAGCCACCCCGGTTACCTGAGCCTCGGGCAGCTCTGGGCAACTAGGAAGCCACCACCCAAAACTTGCCTGCACCTCGAGCTGGCCTTGGGTAGCTAGGGGGCGGAGGAGCCTGGGTGCTGTGGGCACCACCATCTTTGAAGGCAGGACAGTCAATTAGCATGTTCCCTCCTTACTGGCTGTGGGCACCGCCATCCTTCCAACAGTGTGAGGGTCAATTAGCATATTGGGATTAAGAACTTACAGCATCCGCTTTACAAATGGTGTTGGCTACATGTCGACATAGCATCTTGAGCCAGTTTTCTTTTGGAAGTTCCTCTGATGTCATCTGGAAACTGAGCAGCACATTTGCCTGCTCTGTTGGTGGCCTCACGAGCAAAGCAAAAGCATTATGGCAATCTAAGGTTCCAGAATTAAAAACAATATGTGTTATTCTTGGAAAATGATAGATTTATGCAAATTTAGTTACCTCAGATTAACAATATTCCAATGAAATGAATGATCTTTTCTCCCCCCTTCCCACCACCTCTATTTTTAATTGGACAAAGATTATCACTGTTTTACAGTGAAACATTAGAAAGAACTGTAACAGTACCATTTAAAGAACCAACAATAATAATTTGACATTACATAAACAGTATTTTCCATGATATTTAATATTTTATATGATGGAGAGTTTTAAACAATTAGAATGCATAATTACTTCATATCCTAGAATTTGGGTTTTAAAATGAAATGGCATTGTAAGAATAATTTAAAAACTCAACCTATTTAAATCAAGTTTAAAGAAACAAAATTTTCAAATATTAAAATTGTTACAAAATGTTTTTTAGAATCTAGTTTAAACAATGAAGTCTTCCATTTTTAGAATCCAAAAATATGGAAATATTTAAAATAAATGTAATACATAACCCATAATTCAAATTTGACAATAAAGATAGCAATATAAATTACTATTTAAATTTTCTTTAATTGTTTTTATTAACTCAAAACCTTTCATCAAGAGAGGATGGGATCATTAATGGAACCAGCTTACATTGTAAAAACCATGCCTAACACTCAAAATATGACCATAAAGATATATCACTAGTGTCAGTTAAATGATACTATTTTAAGTAAGTATAAACTTTTGGCAATTTCAGGCCTTCAGAGATACCTCCCTTACACTATCAAAGTTGAGGGAGAAGGCTTCCCTTAATATATTATACATTTAACTCCATGCCAAGACTATCACAGTTACTTAGCATGTATTTACTCATGCACATCATTCCTGGTCATTTCCTAACTGTATCCTTAAGAATGCTGCCAATGGCAACAAGGATACAGAGTACAGATGATTTCTTTTGGATTCTGAAGAAATAAAATATTTTGGTGTGGGAATAGGCTAGATTAGGGTACATAGCACTTTCATTTAAAAAAAAAATAAATAAGGGAGTTAAACAAATCGGCAATGAGTATGAACTATTTTTATTTAACAAAAGTTTATCCAATAAGCATACCTTCTGTTTCTCTTATGTCCAGCACTTTCTTAATTTGAGAAAGAGGCATTAGATGAATATGCTTAAGAGAAGCTGGGGGTCGGGTCTGGCCATGAGGACTCCTAAAAGTGCCAATAACTTTGTGGCGTTTCCTTGCTATCTGATTATAGAAAAACAAAAGTCATTATGAATAATATGAATAAAAACAAAGACAAAATTCTTAAAAATAAAATGCACTAATCACATAAATATATATGCAGCTCATCTAACTATTAGTCATTCCAGAATTACTATGGGATAAGAAGCTCTGTAAAAAATTCATACATGTACTTATATAATACATATGCTTATGATTACCTAAGAGTTCAAAGGTCAGGAAATTTTAGATTTACACAAAAAATCCTAGAGATATGAAAAAACGTAGAAGCATTGTGAGAACTAATAGGATCAAAGAACTGAAGAATTTTCTTGAGTTAGGAAGGAAAATAGTTACTCTGGGACCTCTATATTAGGTATAAAAGATAACTGATACCAGTTTAAGAGCAGAATTCGTAATTATCTCAGATCCTGGGAATAAATAACACAGAAATGGTTCTGCCTCTCATATTTTCATACATCAAGAAAGGGGACAGTTAAAAAGGTAACTAAACAATAAATTAAACAAATGGTACAAATTATAAACTCAAGGTGCTATTTAAGACACAATTTTACCTAAACTGGGGATTCCTGCAAAAGAAAGAGGTAAATAAAATAACATTGGAAAAACCAGGGGCAAAATCAGAAAGAACCCTGTAATTCATGAGGTACTTGAGTTCTATGAATTTTATAAGGACTTTAAATTTATTGTTTTCATTTCCATGAAAGCCTGGTATGTTATTTAGCTTTTTTTAAAAAGAACATCTCTTTTGAGGTAATAATCATCAACTGGAAGACATCCGCACAAAATGTCTTAGATTAGGTTACTCAATGAATTGAGGTTAACTGGTCACCATCATGAATATGACAAAGTACGGCTGAAAAGTATATCTACTTAAGTGTTAGCTAATTAGAAAAGACCAAAAGGCCGTCAGTACACATTCATACGAAAGCAAAAGTATGACTCAGACCTATATAAAATATTAAGTTAATTTACCTTAATGTAGTAAAAATAAGCAATAAAAACAAATATTTTCACTAATATTTAAATATACATTAAATTAACTTGGTTAAGCAGAATAAATATAATTTTAAGGTTTTTTTTAAAAAAGGAAAAGCAATGACAAGTGTTAATACTTTTTGTTGTTGTTGATCATCACTGGGGGATATTTTTTCATTGATTTTTAGAGAGAGTGGAAGGAAGGAGAAGAGAGAGAAACATTGATACCGTCAATTGGTTGCCTTCTACTTATGCTCCAACCCCGAGGAGATCAAGCCTGCAACCAAGGTATGTACCCTTGACAGGAATTGAACCTAGACCCTTCAGTCCGAGGGTCCACGCTCTACCCACTGAACAAAACTACCTACGGCGCAAGTATTAATATTAATGACACATATGCTAGTACATAAAGGTAAAAATCTCAAAACAAATAAAATATAAAAAGTGTATTCTTAAATACTAAATTAATTTAGTTTCAGTAAAACATCAACTGCCATATTTAAGAGAAATCAATATAGATTTTATCCATTTTAATTGTTTCTAACTTTTATTTTATTCTTCATTCCATATTTGCTAAGAGGTTTGGTTATCTGTTTGTGAATTTGGTTTTTCGGTTTATTAATTTTAGAGGGAGCGGGGAAGAAGCCAGAGAGGGGAGGGAGGGAGGAAGAGAGAGAAGGAAACATTAATTATTTGTTATTTATGCATTCATTAGTTGATTCTTTTATGTGCCCTGATTGGAGAGGAGGCGTGATAGAGGGGGTAAGAAGAATGGTGTCAAACCACAACCTTGGCATATTGAGATGACAATTTAACCACAGAGCTATCTGATCAGGACTGTTTGGTGTTTTTTTCAAACAAGCTAAAGAATGAGAGTTTAGGATTATAAATCTTATAACTCCAAATTTAATGTTAGAAATAGTACTGTTTCAATCACTATGATTCTGAGACAGGAAAGCTAAGAGAGAGTAGAATAAAAAGTCACTGGTGAATGAAATGAGAGGCTAGGGTATTACATAACCGACTGGAAACTACAGGGAATGACAAATGGCAAGAATTAAAGTGGAAGGTGAGTCAATGAGCCAATTATATAATACTTCAAGGAATTTGAAGGGGAGGTAAGATCAAAATATTAAAGTTAACTACAACTCTCTCAGGATTAAGGGAATAAAACCCAGAATGGGTTAGTTGGGAAGTAAAGATAACCTAACCAATTAGATGAATGGAGCCATTGGCCAGGGGACTTCAATAGGAAAAATCCTAAAAAAAAAAAAAAAAAAAAAAAAAAACTTGAATAGGACCTAACAGAGAACTGAGCAACTTATGGACAGACAGTAAAATTCCATGATAATGCCTACTGGGTAAAATATGATTTATCTGCCTCATGATTTTTTATTATAACTTTCTCAGTTCTGGGTATGGCCAGTTGTGTATAGTATTTTCAGTGTTGCTATTTTGTGTTTTGTAACATTCCTGAACAAATGAAAATATTATTTTTCATTAATATCACAACAGAACTCTGCATTTAGCACAAGTGAACTTTTGGTGACTGGGCATGATTTGTTCTCCCAACAGTTTTCTGTGTTTTATAACAATGTACATGATACAAGAGCACAACACTAGAAGACATGTAAAAAAGGAAAAAAGGAAGAGATACAGACTTTTTTTTTTTTTAAGGAAACCCATCAAATCACTTTAATGAAAGCAACAGGTAGATACCAAATAACAGAAATGTCAAATTAGTCTTCTGGTGAATTAATATCTGTTATATCAAAATGAATAGCTTTATCTCCTGAGACAAAGGAAAATACATTCCTTTATATCCCACATTAGGCTATTTTAATGTGTGAAAGTACACTATTAATAGAATGAAAGAAAGGAGTTGAAAAAGCACCCCTAGCTGGTTTGGCTCAGTGGCTAGAGTATCAGCCTGCAGGCTGAAGGATCCTGGGTTCGATTCCCGTCAAGGGCACATGCTAGGGTTGTGGGCTTAACCCCCAGTAGGGGACATGCAGGAGGCAGCCAATAAATGATTCTCCCTCTCCCTTTCTCTCTGAAATCAATAAAAATATGTTTGAAAAAAAGAAAAGAGAAAAAAGCACACAAATATAATTCAGTTTGTCTATAAGAATAATATGGGAGAAAAAATTTAACTTAGATGAGAATTTTAGAATCAATGCACATCATATGATATAATGACCACTCATTTCACCCTGATGACTTAAGGAGAATCAGGAAACCATAATTCATGATATTACACAATCAATTTATCTCTTCAACAAAATACTGATTTCTTTACTTAAATTTCAAAGTAAACTCATGCTAGTATGTCATACATCTCTTATAAATATACATAGAAATAAGATGTTCCGCCAAAACCGGTTTGGCTCAATGGATAGATAGAGCATCAGCCTGTGGACTAAAGGGTCCCAGGTTCGATTCCGGTCAAGGGCATGTACCTTGGTTGCAGGCATATCCCCAGTGGGGGGTATGCAAGAGGCAGCTGATCGATGTTTCTCTCTCATCGATGTTTCTAACTCTCTCTCTCTCTCTCTTCCTCTTTGTAAAAAATCAATAAATATATTTTAAAAAAAGAAAAAGAGAAGAAATAAGGTGTTCCTAAAATTCTTTGACTTAGGCATTTATTTGTATGGAAATAAACTAAATTTTTATTCTGACTTAAATTTGAAGTCATGACAATTTATCATACTTCTTAATATTAGGTCTTCTAAAAGCATTCCATTAATAAAAAGTATTAAATCAACAACATCTTATTAAAAAAGTGTGATTATTTAATTTTAGTTAAACTTACTTATAATACTTTAATTAAAGCTAGGTTTTAAACATTCCAGGAAGTCATATAAATCAGTATATTATTATTTTAAGTACAACTTTACCTCCAGGCAATCATTGAAGAGAAAGAGGGTTACTTGTTCTCCTCTGTCACAGGGGTGCTCGCCTAGAGAAATTGTTTCAACTCGTTGGATTAAGCTTCGGTGAGAAGATAAAAGATTAGCCTGTGTAGATTGAGAATATTAATAGATCATTTGGGATCAAAGACTTTTTTAAGTTGTAATTTAAAAGAAAGTGGTGCCAAGATTCTTTCTATATTAAAACTTATAGAATCTAAATAACAAGAAAGAGAAAATAAATTTATAATTATCAAAGATGAATACTTACTGGGCACCCATCTACTTCATAAACAACATCAAAAATTTGCTTTTGCGCTTCGGTTTTTCTCTTATCCTCATTAATATGCCTGAAAAATTAATAAGGTTATTTTTAAAACTTTAAAAGCTTAGTGGAACTTACTTGGTCCCTGGTTAAAAAAACAAAAACAATAACCCAACCGGCAGGGCTCAGTGGTTGTGCATCAACTTATGAAAGGGGAGGTCACATTTCGATTCTGAGTCAGGATACATGCCCAAGGTTGCAGTCTAGAACCCCATGTGGGGAGTGCAGGAGGCAGCTGATCAATGATTCTCTCTCATCACTGATGTTCTATCCCCCCTTCCTCTCTGAAATCAATAAAAATAAAGTTTTTAAAAAACTCAAAATAAGAAACTTTAAATTTTAAAAAAAAGTAGACAAAAGATTTGAATATACATATCACAAAGATGATAATATGAATGGCAAATAAGCACATGAAAAAATGCTAACCATCATTTGACATTAGGCAATATGCAAATTAAACCTAAAATAAGATATTTCACTATACATCTTTGAGAATTTCACAAATTAAAATGACTACTCATACTGAGCATTGATAAAAACTTAAAGCCACAGTGTTCAACATACACTGTTGGTGGGAATGCAAAATAATACAATCACTTTGGAAACAGTTGGGTGAAATTTTTTAAAACTTATATGACCTAGCCATTCCTACTTCTAGATATTTTTTATCCAGAAGAAATGAAAGTATATGTCCATATAAAAATGTACTCACAGATGTTCATAGCTGCTTTGTTATATACAGACACTGAAAACAATCAAAATATCCACCAACACATGAACTAATAAATGTGGTATACTCATACAACAGAAAACAATAAAAGAAAATGAACTATTGATATAAGGAACAATAAAGACTAATCTAAAAATAATTATGCTTAATAAAAAAAAGCCTGACTAAAATATAGGCAATTTGATTTTATTTAGATAAAATCCTAAAATATGCAAATTATACTAATAAAAATAAGAATAGTTGTTGCCTCAGAATGAGCTGGAGAGGGAGGAAAAGGGATTACTATCAAAGGCTATGAATAAACTTAGCAGAAATGTTCCTTAACTTGATCATGGTGGTGGTTTAATGGAAATATATATATATATATATATATATATATATATATTTAAAATTTTTTAAAAAACCTTTTTATTAAACATGTATAATTTGCTAAGAAAAATGTACTGAAAACTACTAAAACATAGATCTATAACAAATTAATGTTTATAAGATAAATATATGTAATTAATGGTGTTAGAATCCAATTTTAGGGTTTTTTTTGTTTGTTTGTTTTGCTTAAATGGCAAGGATTAGTTAATTGGTGCTCTCTCATTATTTCCTTTATCTTACAGATTATAGTTGTTTCAATCAACCACAATATTAGTAAGCACTTAATCCCTATGCTAAATATTCAAGAATCCTAAGAATTCAAGTGTGGTTAAATTCTGTAAGGTTTACAAATCAGTATCACAACTCAACATTAAAATTGCAGCTTCTTTAGTTCAATACCTATTGAAAACCTATGAGCAAGCAATTTAGGGTAGTGATATATTAGAAAGATCTGTAAATTCTGAGGAAGCTTAAATAAAATGTTAAAAAAGAAATCTTAATCACCAGTCATCAATTTGGCTCATTATTTCTAAAGCAGCCTACTTTACATTACTCCAAAGGAGGCAACAGGTCAAATGACAAGTCTACTCCCTAGTTAGGTTACTTTATAATCTTTGTTTACCAAAAACATTATATGTAAATACTAAATAGCATATGCTATCATCACTGAACAGGCAAAAAGGCCAAGTAACAACCTCTCAGCTTTTCTCTTTTGTGAAAATATGTTAACACTGACTGCCTACTTCAAAGAGTGGTTGAAAGAATCAAGGTAAGTAATGACAGAATTTGTTAAACCATGAAGTGTTTAAAAAACTATTATCCTAGCTGATAAACATAAAATATGAATGTAAGCAAAAAATAAAATAAAATAAATAAATAGCATGCCTAAAACTATCCATAGCAACAGAAACTCTTTAATTTAAGCATTATTTTACTGCTGAGCTCTCACTCTTACAGCTAGTAAAGTTCCTAGCTAAGCATGCCTTTGCAAGTTTTTTTTTTTTTTAAATATGTTTTTTTCTTATTGTTACTTTTATTTTTTGTAGAGAGACAGAGAGAAAAACATCATCTGGCTCCTGCACAACCCCTACTAAGGATCAAGCCCATAACCCAGGCAAGTGCCTTGACTGGGAATTGAAACAGTAACCTTTCAATGCATGGGATGACAACCAACCACCTGAGCAACACTGGCCAGGGTATTTTCAAGTATTTTAAGAAACTACTAGTGGCCCAGTGCACAAAATTCATGCACATTAAAAGGGAATTAGAGGAAATATTTTAATATTGCCGTTTGCCCTTTGTCTATAATACAAGTGTCATAGGTAAAATGTGTATGAAAATTGAAAATGTCCCTCCTGTAAGGTAATTGGATCACCTTTAGTGATCCAATAGCTTTTTCTAGAGTGTCTTTGTCAGGATTTTCTTCAGCTGTTTGTTTCTTAAGATCTGTAATCTCGGGCGTGCCATGGGTCTGAGCAATTGCCACCCACCCACACGTACCTCGAAATCTCACAAGTCCTAGACCCAGCCAGCCCCATCCCCGTCAATCCCCTCAGGGCAAGGGGCGCAACCTCAGGTCCGCCACCTCCCCCCCCCCCCCCCCCCCCCCCCCGACAAGTGTAAGGAGGGGGTGTGGGGGAAGACAGCCTCAGGTCCCCCATCAAGCCCCGAGGGGCAGGGAGAATGGCCTCAGGTCCCATGGTAGAGCCTCAGGTCCCCTAGACCTGGCACAAGGGTATGAGGGTGTGAGGGCATGATGATCATTTGCCTATTAGCTCTTTATTATATAGGATTTCAGATTGAAACACCTCATGAAATTTCAGAAATATTTTAATTAAATCTATTAAATATGTTGATATGTGAAGTCCAAAGAGTTGAAGTGCCCTCAACCTCCATGAGTCAAAGTAATACCAACATAGTTTTAAGTTCTGATCATCATAGTCAGGAAAGATCATTTCTGATCAGAACTATGTCTACAAGTTTAACAATCAATGCCCCAAGGCAATTTCACTGAGTTTACACTTTTCATACATCTCCAACCAACCCCAATAATTTAATTCCTTAAAATTCAAGGTAAGAAGCCAAAAGCCAAATGTAAAGTGAAAAAAGTATTATAAATATTTTTATTTCACCATGGTCAAATTCCCAAGTTACATTTGGGCAATTTATATGAATATGAACACAAAGAATAAGCTATGATTAGAGAAAATGGCTATTAGTAAATTATAACATTTTCAAATTTGTAAACCACTGTTACACTCTGTACATATTAGTTTAATACCCTAAGAAATGTTTTTGATTAATCAATGTATTCTTATAATACTTTCTCATCATTTTAATGTGTAATTACAGTATTAGAAAAATAACAACCAATATTTGTTATTTTTCTCTCCATTCATGATTCTCATTGTTCTATCAATTCCATTCTAAATCCAAGGAACAATAAAAACATTGAAATAATGCACTTACGTCATTACTTCCTTTAGTGATCCAATAGCTTTTTCTAGAGTGTCTTTGTCAGGATTTTCTTCAGCTGTATGTTTCTTAAGATCTATAATGATAAAATGTTTTTTCCATGATTAACAAAAATTCAATGGTTTTCCATCTAAGATTTAATTTAAAAAAACACCATCCATCTTAACAGACATAGACTAATAATTTTTAAAGATAATATCCAACCTTTACCTTAAGAGTTCTCTTCCTACACATTTGTTAAGATTCCCACATTTTTTTCTTATTTACTAAATTTCCAGAATAATGTGACCCATTATTTCACAGCTATCTCACTTTCCTTCTAATAAAGTTTGAGAACTGCTAGATTCCTTAAACTCCCTCCATAAATGAAAACACTTGGTCCTCATTATATAGCTGTATTTCACACTGGAGTCCATGAGTCCATCACAGGGAGCCTTCGATGTCCTTAGAGCAGGTTTTGTTCAACTTACGGGTTCATGAGATGCCTAAGCCTTGATTGTTCATACCCAGGTTGCTCATAATGTTCCCTATGCTGTATTCACCTAAGGATTCCCTAGTACTACACCCATTTTATCTTTAAAATAGATTGATAGAAGAAAACCTTAGAAATCACGTTCATTTTATTTATTTACTTATTTTTTTTAAATCAAGTTCATTTTAGTCATGACACCATTTAATGGATTTCTATTAAGTATTAATGAAGATAAGCAAAAAAAAATTACACTGCTTTAATTGCACATATATTCTCTTTATAATCTATAAAATATGACAGCCTTCAAAGGCTAGAAAATAATTTTATATGCTAGTAATTCTAAACTACCTTAGATAAAACAAAAATTATCATTTTTTCTAGTTACTATTATAATTCATGTTAACTAGACTATTTAAAGAAAAAAATAGATTAAGTAGTTATAAAAATCAGCTTCCTTGCCAGCTACACATACTACTGTACTTAAGGTTTGAGAATCAAAATGCTTTTTAACAGACTTATTCCAATTAGTAACGTAATTTTCATACATAAATTTTAAAAATAATGTAAAAATTGACACTATCCTAAAAATATTCACTATTTAAGAGTAAGCTAAATGTAAAGGCATAGCCATAAGCTTATCTTTTACTGCAAGCAAAATTTATTCAAAAAAATTAACTCTTCGTTATAAAACTCCCTTCCATTGATATCCATAGTTTACTTTCCATAAATAAATGAGTATTTCAAGTTTTCTGCGCAATCTAAGAAAAAATTGGACATAAGACCAAATATACCAAATTTTACTAAGACTCAAAAAAGAACCAAATAGAGACATAGGAATCATCTCTTGCCTTGGGATTTCTGTGGGTGAAGTGTGTGTTTACATGAATGTAAATTGATTTTGCATTAATGACACACCAAGAAATTTAAGGAGACTTTTAGTGGAAAGATAAAAAGTTCAATACTAGTCAATATAATTAATATCAGAATAAATAAAGCATTCTAGGCCAGACTAAATTTTTGTAGCAGTAGTGATTAAGATTATCCATAAAAATATTTTCTATGTAAAAGATATAAACTTTAATGTTAAAAATGTAAGAAAATTTGAAAACAAAAAGAGTTTCAAATTTTTTAGAACAAAACAATTCTATAAAAACACCCAAATGGTCTAAAAATGATCAGACAAGTACCATTTAAAAGTAACGCAACACTAGGTAACCTCTGTACTGGTCGGATGAGAAGTTCAACAAGGCTTTGCCGTCCACATTCTGGTTTAGCTTGATTGATCTGAAAATAATTAATTTATTCAACAATTTTTAAAAATGGTTTTTGCAAATATTAGACACACTACGTTTATCAATTACACCTCATCATTAGTGCCCTGACAGCTAACAGGAAAGCTGGGGTGGCAATGTTCTCTAGTAGATTACTGTGGTTGAAATGACCTCCTGGCCAGCCAAGGGTTAATTAACATCTTAACCAGAAAGTGAATTACTCTACACACTACTATATAATCCTTCTTAAATTAATCATAAAAAAACTTTAAAGTATTGTGTTGATTAGATAAACAAAATAAGGCAGTGGTAAGGCGGGGGTTGGGGGAGACACTGCACGTGAGAGGGGAGGGGGAAGAATCATTAAAGGCAATACAGAATTCCCCTAGAAATATTTTAGGTATTTGAGAACTGAAACATGTATAACTTTTTAAAAAAAACACCATAAACAACATTCTCATTTACTTAGCTGCCTCTTATATTAATTTATTTTTACTAAAAGCATAATTTTAATGAATTCCTTCAGAAATTATTTTCAGATTTTTATTTGAAAGACTGTACATTACCTTCAGAAAAGCATGAAATCTTGGTTTCTGTTTTTCACATTTAATAATTGTTTCCTTGCTCATTTCAAAGAAGTTAACAAAAGGAGGGTAGGTTTTTACTAAATCTTTTGCCTAGAAAGAAGAAAGAAAAAACACACACATTGATTTGTAATACCTTTCATCCTTAGACAATAAAACTTGAAGTCGAATGATCAAGTCACAAACTGACAGAGTGCAAAAGTGTGTAAGTTTCTTCTGATGTTAAATATAAAAATTTATAAGTGAGTTAACTGCTAAATAAAATACATCAATTGGTACGCCTGCCAGAAAAGTAAACACCATAAAAAAACAAAAGTATGTTAAAACTTGTACTGATATAAACATAACAAGTTTAAAACCTATAAATTTATTCACGACAACGGAGAAAAAAAAAAAAATGAAGAAAGGAGTCTCTGGGAAAACGTGACAGCCACATGGCAAAAGAATGAAACTAGACCATTTTCTTCAAAAAATTAATTCAAAAAAGACCTGCTACTATAAAATTCCTAGAAAAAACATAGGAGGTTAAACACCTTGACAGGGGTCTTAGGAATGTTTTTGAGGATTTGACTCAACAGGCAAGGAAAACAAAAGATAAACAAATGGGACTATATCAAACTAAAAGGCTTCTGCACAGTAAAGGAAAACATCATCAAAATGAAAAGACAACTTACTGAATGGAAGATATTTGACAATAATATATCCAATAAGGGATTAATATCCAAAACGCATAAAAAGACACACAACTCAACATAAAAAAAAAAAAAAAAAAAAGAACCTGATTAAAAAAAGGGAGAAGGGGCCACAGGAAGATCTGAATACACATTTTCCCAAAGAAAACATACAAAGGCCAACAGGCGCATGGAAAGATGTTTAACATTACTAAATATTATGAAGGTGCAATCCAAAGCTACAATGAGAGATCACCTCACACCTGTTAGAATAATTATTATCAAAAAGATAAGAAATAACAAGTGTTGGAAAGGATGTGAAGAAAAGAAAACTCCATACGTTATCTGTGGGATTAAGTGGTACAGCCACTATAAAAACCAGTATGAAGATTTCTCAAAAAATTAAGACTAGAACTGCCATATGATTCAGCAATTCCACTTGTGGGTATTTATCCAAAGAATTTGAAAACACTAATTCAAAAAGATATACATGCCCCTATGTCCACTGCTGCATTATTTACAATAATGAAGATGTGGAAACAACCTGTGTCTATAATATCAATGGATGAATAGATAAAGAAGATGTGTGTGTGTGTGTGTGTGTGTGTATTCCCCCAAAAAATGTATACACACACTTTGAATAATTGTAAAGACAGTGTTTATTAAAATACATTTCATTTTCAAAATTCAGCTATTAGCTATTAAAGTGTGAGACACCCTCTATATATAGTGGAATATTATTCAGCCATTAAAAATGAAATCTTACCATTTGTAATAACAAAGATGAAACCTGAGGGTACAACGCTAAGTGAAATAAGTCATAATGATAAAGACAACATACGATTTCACTCAAATGTGTAATCTCTTTAAAAAAGAGAGAAATGAACAAAATAAACAAAATCATACATTCAGGGAACAGATCAGTAGTTATCCAAGTGGAAGGGAGTTCAGGGGTGAGTAAAAGAGGGGGAGGAGTCAATTTCATGGTGATAGATAATAACCAGACTTTTGGTCATCACTCTGTAAGTGTATACAGATGCTAAATTATGTTGTAGACCAGAAACTTATATAATTAGAAAATTATATAATTAGAAAATTATATAAGTCTGCAAGTTCAGAATATACTAATTAGAATTGATCTATGCAGAACCTAAGAACATGCTATTATTTATTGAAGGACCTAAACCACCATTAAAAGATTAACTATATTAAAAATGCAAACAAGGAAAGAAAAAATGCCTTGGTTAATTGAGGAGAATAAAAGATATCAAAAGGCATGTAGAATAATTTGCATATTTGGAATTCTCAAGCAAGCACACACACACAAAAAATCTGAGTGATTATATGTTAAGAATGGAAGTTAGAAGGCTTCAGAAAACAAAAGTAAATGTGCCAGAACCCAAGGCACTGAAACTTACAATTATATTCAAAAACACTAAAAAAAATGTATAAATCCTATTCATATCATCTCATTCAAAATGAATTTACTTTATTTTAAAAAACTTAAGTATGTTGCTCTTCTCCCATAAAAAAGTAGTCTATTAGAAGCTTTTATGCAGAGCAGACAAAATGACAGCAAGTAATATCAACTAAGGAAAAATAAAAATGAAAACTCAGTTCAAGAAAATTTCAGACAAATCATTAATCTATGGCCATTTGTGACGGGCAAATAACCTGATATATAATAAAATAATTATAGCACAGTACTACAGTGTTCCTAATTATGACCTTGAGCTATTGAAAGTATTAAGTTTTATATTTAACAAACACAATGATGTCAAAGTTTTAAAAGCTCTCACATTTAAGCAGGTAACTCATTTCCTGCCAATCCTTTGTGATATTTAATTTGAAAATTAGAAAAAAAAAAGAAAGAAATATAATACTTACATATTTAAGAAAGATGTCACCAATGCTTTTGCTTTCATCCCAATTAACAATAAGGTCTTCAAGATCATCCTAAAAAAAAAAAATTAATACAAATTAAGACATTTTAAATTGCACTTGACAATCTCTTAAATATCTTTTAACGTTTTCAAGATAGTCATTTTGAAAAAAAAGTCATTTTGAAGGTACTTTACACAGTATGTTCCCTTTATATCTAGCAATAACTGAAATATCCAAGGATTTTGATAAAATATAAAATAGAAGTATTTGATAAATTGCACTTTATTAACTTATAGATCTTTTATATTTTTATTTATAATGTACAGTAATATCAAAAGTTAATATATTTTCTTGAAACATTTATAATTCAGCTTAATCTTTTTCCTGCAAGATGGGATAAACATTAATATGGGTAATTTTGAGAAAACTGATAAATTCAATTCGAGAACCACACAGAAAATATAAGAAGAAATAAACCTCAACGACTTTTAGAGCTCAGCTAGTCCTCCCCAAACTTACTTTACTATGACTGATTGGTACCTGGAAATCATGGATCCTCCATTTAAAATAAAAAATCATTAAAAAGAAAATAGGATTATCTTATATGATTTTAGCATTTATCTAACTATAGAGAATTGAATGAAATAAACTCTAAGTCCCTTCCAGTTTCACAGTTTTTCAAACAAACTGAAGCAAAACATAAACATAGAGCAGAGGAACAGTAGAAAAATAACACTAGCAACTACATTTCTCTTTCGAAGAGTTTATGAGGCCTTAATTCCTTATTTTCAGGATTAATTCAAATTTTTAAAAAATACAAGCAAACAACAAACATTAACAATGCATTGCAGCAAAGAACAAATCCGAAGGAATAAGTGAAAAATTTTAGATACAAAATTTATTTAGCTCATCAGAAGTACCTGAAAAATTATAATAAACATAAACATAAAAAAAGAATTATTACAAGCCTAACATATAAAAATTTACCTTTATCTTGGTGTGCACATCAAAAATATCTGGGATACTACCAAAAATAGTCTTAATCTCTTCTGGGGCAAGGATAGGCCCACCACGTTGTCCTTCTTCTTCCAAAGGTACCTGAAATAACTAAAAGGTAAAAAAAAAAAAAAAATAGTAGTTTAAATAGAATGTGGGGAGGGGAGAAGGAGTGAAACTAACACGAAGTGATAAAGGGGAGATGAAAAGTTGATGAAAAAGAAAAAAAGATATAAAAATACTTCTCTAAATGTGAGGCCTTTTTTCTAACATTTTCTATTCTACTTTATCTTATTTATTTATACGGATTTGTGCACCAGTGGGGTCCCTCAGCTTGGCCTATGGGAATCAGTGGACCTCCGCACCGCCGCAGCCCGGCCTTACCCACCAACTCATCGATCCAGCACAGCAAGTAGTGCATGAAGCAACAGCAGGCGGGGAGGAGCCGGAGCCCGGGCACAGGCCAGACACCATACTGCTCCTGCAGATCCTAGCCCCACTGTGCCTGCCACCGCCGCTCAGTAGGCTTGCTGCCACTCTGCAGCAGTCTCCATGCACCCATCCTTGGGCGATACCAGCACACCCATGACAGTACAGCCTCCACTTGTCATTGCAGCCTCGCTCCTCTTGCGAAAGCCGGCTGGTGCAGAGTCAGTCTGGATGCCCTCCTGACTTTCGTCCAGATGGGGAAGGGCCACGCAGGGGGAGTGTCCACGGGAGAGGCTTAAGCCACAGGTGCACTTGCCAGCCATGAGCCCGGCATGAGACACCAGTAGGTCAGCTGAGAGGTGCTCCCACTGAGGGAGTGCAATGATCACCAGGAAGCAGCTCCTGCATTGAGCATCTGATCCCTGGTGGTCAGTGCACATCATAGTAACCAATCAGTCCTGTGGTCGCTTAGGCTATTATATATAGAGACTAGAGGTCTAATGCACAAATTTGTGCATTAGACCTCTAGTGGGGGGTGTGCAAGAAGCAACTGGTCGATGTTTCTCTCTCATCGACGTTTCTAGCTCCCTATCTCTCTCCCTTCCTCCTCTCTATAAAATATCAATAAAATATATTTAAAAAATAAAAAATAAACATGTAAATGATGCTGAAAACTAAGGATGCTGATCAAAGACGACATGGAGATTTATGGAAGTTTTTTTTTTAAGAAATGTAAATATATACATATATTATAAATACTATGAAATGACATGAAGATTACAAATTGTTACTATTTTTAAGAACTACAATTTTACAACAGTTCACTCTCTTCTATTGAGGATTTCCAATTCTAAGTATGGTGAACCCTACTTGCTGAAAACACCTGAAAATACTGAAGAAAAACTTCTTTCTAAATATACCAATAGGCAGACAAGACAGTGAAATACCTTCAGGGGCCAAAATCAAAGTGAATATAGAGTTGAACACTAAAACCAACTTTTGCCAAGGACATTTGCCTAAACTGATGAAAGTTAAAGCTTTACCTATGAAAACCTGTAGGCACAGAACTAGTTTCCAACCTACTATCAACTTCCAATAAAGTTAAAAATGTGTGTATGAGTCAGAAATTCCAAGTTTTTACCCAGAGTACATTCTCAAGGAGACATGAGTAAGAATATTCACAATAGACTACTAGTAAAAGACAAAAACAAAAACAAACGAAAACAAAAAAAAGCAGAACACTAAAACTTAACACCAATGTCCATTAAAAAGAAAAGTTAAATAAACTGACTTATTTATACAGAAAAATGAATTACAGCTGCATACAACAACATAGATGTGTTTCAAAAGCATTACTCTCGGGTGAAAAGACAAATCATTTAAAATATATAAATATAGTTATAACTTGTTTTTTCTAAACATGTGATAGAACTAAGGGAAACAAGCACAAAAATCGAGATGATGATTATCTCTGACAAAGGAACAGAAACACAATAAAGGTTTCAAACATATTTGTAATCACTTATAAATATTCCTTTAACATTTAATTTAAAATCCGTAACAAAAATATTCAAACAACCAAAATACATCAAGTTTCATTAAAAAAATCTCTCAATAGTCTTAAGATATGTTAAACCATTCTAAAACCTTTCTGGGTTTGCTTTAATCCCCATATTAAATTAGAGAGGCAAAAAACTACTGATTCTACCTTTCCAATATTTCTTAAATTTATCCTTATTTCATTTTAACTGATACTATCCTAAGAAGCCAGGTCCTCAAAATCTAACCAAGACTACTGAAATAACCTCCACAGTGGTCTCCTTGACTCCACAAATTGTCCTCTTTAATGTCTCCTTCAAACTGAACCCTTATCTTTCTAAAATGCTGGTCAAATGTATCTTCCCATTCTACAGCTTCCAGATAACAAGGCACACTATAGAAAGGCCTTCCTAGTTATGGCACAGGCATTTTATCTCAATTCTCACTGTATCCAAACTCTATCCCCACCCTTGTTCCCTTCATACTATAATACCTTAAACTCTAATCCCCCTAGACCAGCGGTGCGCAAACCACGGCTCGCAAGCCACATGCGGCTTTTTGGCCCCTTGAAGTGTTCTAATGCCACTTCTTCAAAACAGACTCGCCCAGGCCAAAAACCAACTTCTCCTGCGCATGGCCCACGAAGTTTCAATTGCTCTGTATGAGTGCACCCAATCGTGGTATTTTGTGGAAGAGCCACACTCAAGGGGCCAAAGAGCCACATGTGGCTCGCAAGCCGTGGTTTGCTGACCACTGCCCTAGGCTATTCTCAATACCTTGAATATACATCTTCAATCATCTGTATTATTTGCAAAATCTCAAATACACTGCCCAATGATATTCTTTGCATGTCCCAATCAGGCTCATACTTTAAAATTCAACTCAATTTTTTTCTTATGCTTTTTTCAATGTTCAACCTATCAAAAATTCCAACCCAACACTTTCCTAAGCTGGAAGAGGAATAAAACAAACCTCGCAAATCTCCAAATTATCGTAAATACCCCCCCACACACACACCATGATTTATATAACCTCTCGTTTGATATTACATTTTGGTATGTATATTCTATCTCCTCCCTCCTTTAAAATAAAAATGCTCTTTAACTCTTGACATAATATTAACTTATAATTTTATTATTAACTTTTATAATATTCTGGAATAGTTATCTTATTCTATATTATATTATATATTCTAGATATTTACTTAATTTGGAGGCTATGTTAAAATTTACTCCAAATTCAATATCAAAAAACAAAAAAGAATATATCAGTCCTAAAATAAAACTTCAAGAAAACACTATCATGAATTTAGATCTTAATATTTTTAATATGTTTTTATTGATTTTAGAAAGAGAAAAGGAAAGAGAGAGAAGCATTGATGTGAGAAACACTGATCGGCTGCCTCCTACATGCCTCCTACATGCCTCCTACTGGGAACTGAGCATGCAACCCTGGAATGTGCCCTGACCTGGAATCAAACTTCTGATCTTTTGTAGCTTTGGGCAAAGTTCATCCAACTGAGCCACATAGGCCAGGGCTAGATCATAATCTTTTAAATAAAAGATTAGGTGAGCCCTGACTGGTGTGGCTCAGTGGATAAAGCGTCAGCCTGAGATTGAAGGGTCCCAGGTTCAATTCCAGACAAGGGCATGTGCCTTGGCTACGGGCACATCCCTGGTAGGGGTCGTACAGGAGACAGCTGATAGATGTTTCTCTCTCATCGACGTTTCTAATTCTCTATCCCTCTCCCTTCCTCTCTGTAAAAAACCCAATAAAATATATTTTTTAAAAAAAGATTAGGTGAGTTTATACTAAGCATAGTGGTATGAAATTTTGTATGCAGTTTAATAATGTAAAGGACTTTTAAAGAGTAGTTCTGGAAAATGTAATTGATATGCAAATTAGAATTCTGAAACTCCAGTGCATTTACCATGACTTGAAAGAATTTACATTTCTAGTTAATAAATACTACCACAGTACATGGAAAGTGTATGCCAAAAGGATACTCAACTACATTTTGACTAATTATAAAAATTTAAGCCAGAAAGTCATCCAGGATGTTATTTCCCTTGAGGAAGAGAAAAGATTACTTAAAACAAGTAAAGTTTAATACAGCTCAGGCCTCATGAAACCATGATGACTACTAAACAAATTAACTGTGAAGGATAATCTCTCCACTACTACACCAAGAAATTTCCATTTCTTATCACTATCATTTTTCTATTCAAAGATAAATTTGATAGTATTAACTTCATTTTCCTGACAAACTATCTCTGTCATTACCTAAAACAAATTTATTCCTTCTTTCTACAGATTCAAAAAAAAGTCCTATTATTATGTCTTCCAGAATCTTGAATTTGTTTATTCCTTAATACTTTCTTCAATCTCATATTACAATGATTCATTAGAATTGTTTTTTCTACAGAAATAACTTCATAGTACATTTTAATAGTGGTAAGCAAGGAGTTAACATTTATTTATGTCTAACCATTGTGAAGTTTAAGATAATTTAACATATGAAAGGATTTTTTTCTTTAAAGTACTGACATTCATATTGTTACTTTGTTGCTATGGCTTTTAACCACATATATACAGCACTACCTAAAGCAATGACTCTAAATACACACTTTCAGAAAAAGTTATCTCCAACTTCCAAATATAAATATAAAGACAGTATCTTGACAAGGAACTTGCAAAGTTCTGAATTAAACTTGATCCCTCTATGATCATCTAATCAGGATCCTTCTCTCTTTAAAGTCACTCTAAAATAAGGTGCTATTTCTACATGAATAAAAATTACTATTACAGTTATGGCATTTCCCTAAGAGCAGTTTTTGTCACACATTTTCATTTTTAATATCTATGTTCAAATTCTATGCCTATGTAATTTTCTTATAAGAAATAACATCTCTTAGATTTTTTTAATATAGAAACACTGGAACAGAAATCATTTTGCAACCAAACTCTTACCTGAATAATTGTGGCCAATATATTTACATAATTACTTTCAGTCTGATAGAGTTCTTTTGCAACTTGCCACCTGGCTGACTGCTTTGAAGGAACCGGAGTGGAATTTTTAGAAGACTTAGTACAAGATTTAGGTGTGTCTAAGAGGTAAAAAAGGAGGAAAGATTAAAAATGCAGGCCAGATATAAGTATTAAACATTACCTAGATTTAACAGAAAAAGGTAAGCATACTAATTCTTATAAATGCATACTAACTCTTATAAATACACCACCAAATAGATTTTCATTACGGTAAAATTTCCTCATAAGATGAGGCCAGAGGAAAAAAATTGTCAAAAATATCAATGACTCCAAATTGACAGACTTTTTACTAAATAGATGGCCTGTACTCTTAAAAAATGCCAAGGTCATTAAAAACAAAGACTGAGGAACTCTACCAGATTAGAAGATACTAAAGAGATACAACATAACCTGTGATCCTGGAATAGATCTTAGGAAAACAACAACAAAAAAATGATCTCTTTTGCTAAAAAGATATTAATGGAACAACTGATAAAATTTAAAGGTCTGTGGGATAGATCATAGCATTAAGGTTAATTTCCTAATTACAAGATACAAAAAAACCTCCCTATATTTTAAGAAATATAAATTTAAGTGTTAAGACATAAAGGCACAACATATCTGCAATGTGCTCTCAAACATTAAAAATATATGTGGAGACAGACAGAGAGAATGAATGAATGAATGAATGAATGTTAAAGCAAATATAGCAGAATATTTGCATGAGAAATTTGAGTAGAAAATATATAGGAATGTTTATAGTATATTTGCAATATTTTTGAAATTGTTTCAAAATAAAAAGCTTAAATAATAAAATAAAAAGCAACATATAGAAACATTTAAGTTAAAAAAGGAGGAAAAGGTTATGATTACACTCTTCATATATATGTAAAAAGCCTCCCTCAAAAAATACCCAACATCAACTGCAAATTCATCGTTAGTACAAAGTATCTTAACATAAAACATCTAGTCTAACCCAAAGTGCAGGGAGGATGCATTCATATATTTTATATGTATTTCAAGAAAAATTAAAATAAACTTTATAAAAGCTTAAAATACATTTTCAATACATTTTCTTAAAATACATTTTCTTACAATATCATGATTAGAATATTTCAACAGTGTATACAGAATCTCCTAATAGAAAGTAGAATGTTCCTCAGCTATGGATGTAGTAGAAATATTCAAAGAACAACAAAGATAGTGTGACTGAAGCTTAAAGAGTATCACTGGAAAGCATGATATCATATGAGGTCTGAGGTAGATAAGGAAGGATTACATAGGAACTTGAGTTATAGTAATACAAAGCCACTCAATGAATTTAAGCAGAGTGGCAATTAGAAAGGTTGGCGTCTGCTGATCTAATTTATATAATTTTAGAGACCACTGTTAAATGCTAATGTAGAAAGGCAAAAATGGATATAAAGAGACCACTGCAGTTGTGTCAGAGAAATCTTTTCTACAGAAAAAGTTGACAAAATATGGCAAAGTAATAGTGTTGAGAATGGTAAAGAGAATCAAAGTTCTAATTTTATAATGTTATGTTTAAGATGCGGACAAGGAGGCATGAAGTAGGCAGTTGGAGAGGGAAGACAACAAATTTTGGGGTCATCAGCATATAAATGTTGTTAAAGCCATGGAATTAAATGAGATCATTTAGGAAAAACAAAAAAGAAAAGAAACATCATAGGCATAACATTCAACATCCAGAGTGATAGTGAAGATGGGCAAAAGAGAATGAGAAATGTACATAAGCCAAGATTAAAAAAAAAAAAAAAAAAATGAGTCCAGAATCGAATACATTGATTGCATAGAAACTGTCATGTCTTTAGCAAGATCCAATGTCACAGTAGAGGCTGACGTTCAACTGGAATGGGTTGAAAAGACCATGGAGCCGGGACCGGTTTGGCTCAGTGGATAGAGCGTTGGCCTGCGGACTGAAAAGTCCGGGGTTCGATACCGGTTGAGGGCATGTACCTTACTTGCGGGCACATCCCCAGTAGGGGGGGTGCAAGAGGCAGCTGATCGATGATTCTCTCGCATCGATGTTTCTCTCTATCCCTCTTCTTCCTCTCTGTGAAAAATCAATAAAATATATATTAAAAAAGAAAAAGAAAAGACCATGGAAAGCAGGAAATAAGATAGTGTTGATTACGGTAATTATTTGAAGAGTACTCATGTGAAAGGAAAGAGAAAAAGGGACTAATAAATGGAGAGTGCCACAAGATCAAGGGGAGGTTTTGATTGTTATCAAGTCTAGAAGACACAGCATTAGAGTAAGCTGACTAAAAAATAAAAACTGATGATCAGCAGAGAACTCATTGTAGCTTTCCTAAATCAGTTGAGAACAAAGTAAACTCAGCCTCCTCTGACTTCATTGTACCCGTTTTCCCCATAATACACATATAATTTTATTTAGTTAGTGCTAAGAATGCTCTTTGAATGGTTCCATCACTTTCTGTGTGACCCTTAATGAGTCATTTCTCTGACCTCAGCCTAGTCATCCATAAAATAGGATAAATGAAATCTATCTTATAAATACAAAAAGTATACAAAAGCATTTAGCATATAGTAAACAATCATTAAATAGAAGCATTTTCATGTGCCTTTTCTCCTCAACTAGAACAAAAATAATTAAAGGCAGAGCCTTTCATATTCAATATAAGCAAAGATTTAGCTATAGCTTAACAATATTCCATTCCACTAAATTTTAAAGATAAATTTTAAATGTGAATTACCTCCATAGTTAATGCTAGACTCTGGTGTGTTGGAGATATCTAGAAGTGACCCTATAGAAAGGGAATGTTCAGCTGATGGGCGCTTACGGGGAGGGAAAGGTGACAAGTCTGTCTCTCTTGAAAGCTGAGCAAGCGTCTCTTTTAAACGACGTCTTTTGCGATTGCTGTTTGGAGTACTGAGAGAAAGCAGTGACACTGATTTCTTGAGCTCAGGTGTATTAGCCTGTAACCAAAAGCACAAAATCTCAATTTCACTTCCATGGCTCTTTACTGAGACAGGAACAAAAGAAAAATATATTTGAGTCTGACAAAACCTGGATTTTGCACAATAATTTTACAACTATATACTCTGTCAGGCAATTCAGAAGCTTCATAAAACATAATAGTCAAGGGACACTGTAATTGTCTAAGCCCTAGCACCTCATTCCTTTTCTTCACAGCACTATCACCATTACATATTCGTCTGTAGCCTTGTTTACTATCTATTCCCAATTAGGCCATAAACTCCAGGAGAGCAGGTGCTATTCACATTTTGTGCACTGTATCTCTAGCATTTAGCACAGTGCTGGACATAGAGCTCTCCAACATTTGTCAAACAACACGAGATTTTAAAAGCTCTCTCTCAGTATCTAAAGCATTTTAACTTTATGTTAAGAACCTAACATTGAGAAGAGAACACAACATAGCATTTACCTGTTTAAACCCATTCCACATCTTCAGTATTCTATTCAAAATTATTAACTCCCAAACTGAAGTAAATCTTCCTGTAAAACCTCTTCTATAGCTTTATGCCACATTTTGGTGAATGATACCGCTCTTCACCAAGATCCAGCATGGAGGCTGGATTTTCCTTGCCTACATTCTACTACTACAATCACTGTTTTTAACATCATCTTCCCCCTTAATATTAAATGTCTCCCAATATTTATAGGAGTGATTTTCAACTGGTGTGCTGCAAGAATTTTTAAACACACAATACCCATCTATTTAGACTGGGGCACTGGCCTCATTTCCTTTACTGTCCAATAAAAAAAAATGACTTCAGTCAATATAAGAATAGCATCCAATGGGAATGAATGAAAATTATAACTACTTTTTGTCAGATTGGCAAAAAATATATTTTCTTATATATTGCAGAATTTTAGTAATTAGTTTATGTGTGCCATGAAGTAAAAAAGGTTAAAAGTTGCTGACTTATAGGATAAAATTTAAACCTCTTCAATATATTAAAAATTTCTTAATTCTGCCTACCTAGTTAGATTCATCTGTTGGCCTTCTTTCTCATTTTTTTCTAAAGCCATACTACGATACATGCTATTTTAACATACTTCCAAGCTTTCATACCACTCCCACCTGTGTTCTAGCTTGAATGTCCTTACCAGGTTAGCCTAGTAAATTAGCTGAACACTTCTTTGCTCTTTTCAATCCTACCCAGGTCCCTCAGCATGAGGCTAGCTAAAATACATTATTCAATTATGGCATATATAATCATGTACTATAACTGTTTGCATATCTATCTTTCCCTTACAGTTCTAAGTTTCTAAAGATAGGGATATTAGTGTTCATAATAATACCACCAATTATTAGTACAGAATCTACATAATAAAGGCTAATATGCAAATTGACCAAGCAGTGGAACAACCAGTTGTTATGATGCACATTGACCACCAGGGGGCAGACACTCAAAGTAAGAGCTGCCCCCTGGTGGTCAGTGTGCTCCCACAGGCGGAGCGCTGCTCAGCGGGAAGGGAGGCTCATGGCTTATGAGTGTAGCGGCAGTAGCAAGAGCAGGTGTCGGCAACCTGCGGCTCCAGAGCCGCATGCGGCTCTTTTGAAGCTTTACCACAGCTCTGACAACTTGCAAGCCTGTGTGAAAATGAAGGGAACGTCTTACAGCCCTGATGTGCTGACACTGTGCACTGAGGTTCAGGAGCAAAAATCCCATTAACCAGGTAAGTTAAATATTTTAATTAGCTATTAATTTGCAAAAATATATTTTACATTGTTAAGTGAAAAAGTCCTTTTTTTCTTCAGATTGACAGCTAACTGCACGATCCGATATATAGCATTAAGGTAAGAAACAATATATGCAGTGTTATATTTGTTTTAAATGTCGCAATGGTTTTGCGGCTCCCAGGTTTTTTTTTTTCCTTCGGAAACGGGTCCAAGTGGCTCTTTATGTCTTAAAGGTTGCAGACCCCTGAGCAAGAGCCTCTCCCTCCTCTTCAGCAGTGCTAAGGATATCTAACTAAGGATGGGGATGCGGGCCTAAGCTGTCAGTTGGACATCCACTGAGGGCTCCTGGACTGTGAGAGGGCACAGGTTGGGCTGAAGACAACCCCCACTGAACGCAAGAATTTTGTGCACTGGGCCTCTAGTGACATAAGATTTCAACAATATATATTACAATGAATGGTTTTACCTAAATAGACATAGACAACTACTCCAATTGTTCTCAAACTCCTAAACATGATGTAACAGATGACTTGTATGCTAATTATACCATGCTCTTTTTGGATAGAAAGTGCCATCTTTATAAAATCAAATTCAAAGAACAAATAACTAAGACACATTTTTTAGAAAACATACCTTTTCATATAAATACATAGTTTCTCCAGCCCGGGCATCCATTTGAATGCTTCCCCAGAACCACTAGGTGAGAAGAAGAACATTTTAATTAAGAATTCACATTATCAGAAATGCCAATTGTAATAGTTTTAGAAAACCAATCGCCTTTTTTAATTACTTGCCTCTTGCTTGACAACATAAAGTTTCTTTGAAGGTTCAAATGGAAGTTCTTTTACTGTACTCTCTTCAACTATAAGGTGAGTGCACCTTTCATCTCCAACCTCTAAATAGCAACCTCCTAAAGAAAAAATGCATACAAACATATAAATAAGGCAAACTACCTTCAAACACAAATCCTTTTTCTTCTTAGAGAGAGGAAGGGAGAAAAAGAGGAAGAAGAGGAAGAGAGAAAGAGAAAAACATCAACTGGTTATCTCCCATACCCGCCCTAATTGGGGACAGAATACACAACTTCGGCATATTTCCTGACCAGGAATCTAACCCATGACACTGAAGCAGAATGATGCTCCAACCAATGGAACCACTCTGCAAGGGCCAAACCCAAAAAATTTTTAAGAGGTATATTCACCAGGAAGTCATTAGGCAGGAGTGGGGAATAAAATATATATATAAAGCTTTTAAATTATGCCAAATTCTACCTTGCATTTCAGTCATTTCTTCCATATTGGTTTTCTCTTCATCTGAAAATCCCAAGAAACTTAAAATGCAATCCTGAAATGGAGGAACTTTAAATTCATTTCTAAAGTCATCAGCTGATGCACAGAAATCCCTAAAAAAGAAAGAATCAAGTCAAAGATTTGGAATACAAAGAGTCAAAGGACACTCCTCCGGAGAAGCAAGAAGAGATTCCAAAAAGTTGAAGATAATAATGTAAGAAGTCTCTGGGACAACTTCAAGCATACCAACATCAGAATTATGGGGGTGCTAGAAGAAGAGAGAAAGCAAGACACTGAAAACTTATTTGAAGAAATACTAACCGAAAACTTTCCCCACCTGGTGAAAGAAATAGACTTATAAGTCCAAGAAGCACACAGAACCCCAAACAAAAGGAATCCAAAGAGGACCACACCAAGACACATATAATTAAAATGACAAGAGAAAAAGACAAAGAGAGAATCTTACAAGCAGCAAAAGAAAAACAGTTTACCTACAAGGGGCACCCATACTATTATCAGCTGATTTCTCAACAGAAACTATCCAGGCCAGATGGGAGTGACAAGAAATATTTAAAATGATGAATAGCAAGAACCTACAACCAAGATTACTCTACCCAGCAAAGTTCTCATTCAGAATTGAAGGGCAGATAAAGAGCTTCACAGATAAGAAAAAGCTAAGAGTTCATCACCACCAAACCAGTATTATACGAAATGCTGAAAGGTATTCTGTAAGAAGAGGAAGAAGAAGAAAAAAGTAAAGATAAAAATTATGAATAACAAATACACATCTATCAACAAGTGAATCTAAAAGTCAAGTGAATTAGAAAAAGCAACCAATATAATACCTTAATAAAAAAATGAAAAAAATTATTAGAAAACTTTACAAAAAAAAAGTCAAGTGAATTAAATACCTGAGGAACAGAAAAAACTGGTGAATATAACAGAATCAGGGCATAGATGGGAGTGGATTGATAATTCTCAGGGGGAAAGGGGTGTCTGTATGGGGGGTACGGGAAGAGACAGGACAAAAATCGTACATCTATGAATGAGGGGGAGGGGAGATAAGGGCAGAGGATGGGATGGGAACCTAGTGGTAGGGAGCTATGGGGGAGAAACAGTTATAATATCTGAACAATAAAAATTTATTGTTAAAAAATAAATTTAGAAAAAGTAATTACATAATAATGAACAAAAAAATATATATATACATATATATTCTTCTAAAACAGCTTAACTTAAATTCAACAAATTAGATACATGAATATCTAATGCTCAAGGTTTTAGCATAATCCATTTATTGAAAATATTTTACATCAGATCCTGAAATATTAACAAAACTTTAACATTTTAATAACAAAAGCTAAAAAATATATTTTTATGTGTCCTCGTGTCATCCTGAATTAAATTCTGTCAAAATTTGATCATGGAAAATTTTTACAAATTCAAATTCCTGCTCTGTACATGAAATTTTGTGTGTGCTAGGGGTTCTAATTTCATTAAATATTAAGTAATAAAGAAGCACAACAGCAAGAAATTACAAGATTATAAAGCTTAAAAAGATTATGAATTGCAATTACCACTTAAAATGTACCCAGAAAAACATAAAATAAGGAAAAACACGATCTAAATATCCATTAAGCTATCCTATATAATAAAAAAATAATATGCAAATTGACCATCACTCCAACACACAAGATGGCTAACCCCATGTGGACACAATATGCCACAAGATGGCCTGCAGCGGAGGGCACTTGGGAGAGACTGCAAGGGAGGGCAGTTAGGGGTGACCGGGCTGGCAGGAGAGGACAGTTGGGGGCGGCAGGCCTACAGGGGAGGGAAGTGGGAAGGATAAGGCCTGCAGGGGAGGAGAGTTGTGGGGAGACCAGGCCTATAGGGGAGGGCAGTTAGGGGTGTCTGGGTCAGCAGGGTTGGGGGGAGCAATTAGGGGCAACCAGGCCAGCAAAAGAGGGCAGTCAGGGGTGACCAGGCTGACAAGGTAGGGCAGTTAGGGGAGACCATGCCTGCAGGGGAGGGAAGTTAGTGGCGAACAGGCCACCAAGCAAGGGCAGTTGGAGGTGACCAGGCCTGCAGGGGAGGACAGTTATGGATGACCAGGTCAGCAGAAGAGGGCAGTTAGGGGTGACGAGGCCAGCAGGAAAGGGTAGTTGGAGGCAACCAGGACTGCAGGGGAGACCAGCAGGGGAGCTGTTAGGCATTGATCAGGCTGGCAGGGGAGTAGTTATGAGGTGATCAGGTTGGCAGGCAGAAGCAGTTAGGGGCAATCACGCAGGCCAGCAGGTGAGCGGTTGGGAGCCAGTAGTCCTGGATTGTGTGAGGGATGTCCGACTGCCCGTTTAGGCCTGATCCCTGTTGAGAACAAACCTAAACGGGCAGTTGGACAACCCTCAAGGGGTCCCAGATTGGAGAGGGTGCAGGCTGGGCTCAGGGAAAGACACACACACACCCGTGCATGAATTTCGTGCACTGGGCCTCTAGTTACCTAATAATTTTAGAATATTTATGATAATCAAAATCATCTCAGATGTCTTCCAATTTTCAATATTCCATAATTTTTTAAATATATTTATATTGATTTCAGAGAGAGAAAGGGAGAGATAGAATATCAATGATAACAGAAAATCATTGATTGGCTGCCTCCTGCATGCCCCTTTACTGGGGATCAAGTCCACAACCTGGGCATGTGCCCTGACCAGGAATGAAACCATGTCATTCTTGTTCACTGGTTGACTCTGAACCATTGAGACACACTAGCCAGCAATAATTTTTTTTTTTTTTTTTTTTATAACTTCACTCTTCCTAACCTTTATTTCCCAAGCTACCCCAAGACTGAGTTCGTTTTCTTCTATATGAGTTATGAATTTAGGGTTGAAGCACATGGGATTACCTTTATAACATTTAATTCACATAATGAACTACTGAATTTTTAAACACTTACTGTTCATTCCGCCTTTCCCAAGCTCTATAAATCCATTCTGGCTTCATAATTGGAGTACCCAGGCTCACAGCAATCTAAAAATATAAACATTAAACTATCAATTTTTACTTAAAATAACTGCATTCATGGAAGTTCCAAGCAATTACATGCATACTTTTTTGCAGTTTTAGATCATTGTTCATCTACTTTGTAACATAATATAAAGAAAAATTAACAGAAAAAAAAAAAAACCCACAAAACTCAATCATACAACTTAGGTTAAAACAAATCCCATGATGTGCAAACCATTTCCTTATTTTACTAGTTCTTTAAATAAATGTGTCTCTGAAGTTGATGAAATTCACCTTTATTATAGTTCATTTCTCCTTTCATGTTTACTTCTTTCAAGAACTGACCCCCAAGACAGCATTACAAAGAAAACATCTGTTTAACTAAAAACTTCAGTAGGAATTAGAAAGTAGGAATTCCCTGGAATTAACTGAAATTAACACTTGCTACATAAATAATAAATACACTGATGGAGAGTTGGAACAGAGATAACATCTCACTAACATAGATATTAAAGTATAATCTCAACTAAGATTTTAATCCTGCCGAAACCAGTTTGGCTCAGTGGCAGATCGTTGGTCTGCGGACTGAAAGGTCCCAGGTTCCATTCCGGTCAAGGGCATGTATATTGGTTGTGGGCACATCTCCGGCAGGAGGTGTGCAAGAGGCAGCTGGTCAATGTTTCTCTCTCATCGACATTTCTAGCTCTCTATCTCTCTCCCTTCCTCTCTGTAAAAACTCAATAAAATATATTTTTTTTTAAGATTTTATCCTAATAAAGATACTTTCTCGTTTTAACATTAAATCTTAGGAGCATTATATAAAAACACTAGAGATCAGGCGCACAAAACTCTGCATGGGTATGATCCTTAGGCGTGGCCTGTGACCACGGCCATCTTCCCTGGCCACCCGCAGCCAGCCCCAGCCCTGGACCCCACTGCCACCCACCCCCAGTTCCCCATTCACCATCGGGCAGTCGGAACCTGATGGCCAGCAGAAAGGAATGAGAGGTCGGCCATTCCCACCTGCTCGCCGGCCTCACCCCCACCACAGCAGGTGGCCCTGTGTATGTGGGCGACTGGAAGGACGTGTGTCTTGGCCTGGCATCACCTGTGTCCCCTGCCACCCACCCCCAGTTCCATTAGGCAATCGGAGCCTGCCAGCCGGGGAAAGGGACCAAAAGGTGGATCAATGTGCCTCACAGTGACTGGTCAAGCGATCATTCTGGTCATTCAGCTATTAGGGTCAATTTGCATATTACCCTTTTATTATATAGGATTATTATATAGGATATCTCCGCTCTGTTCTTATAAAGACCACTTTGCTAAGAGTGAAATATTTATATATCTCTCTCCTCACTTCCCAACTCCTCTCATTTACTAATGCTCATAGTAACCTTTGCAAATAGTATTCATCTGCCTAAAATATTATCCATCAACAAACTTCCAAAATCCTTCTCATCTTTGAGTTCCATTGCCACCTTAAAACCTGAGAGTATACTCCTATGATTTAAAATTTTGTGTTCTAGCCGGTGTTCAGTGCTTAGCGCATCAACTCAAGAACCAAAGTGTCAGGGGTTCTATTCCATACCTGGGTTGCAGGTTCGATTCCTGGCCCTGTTGGGGCTCATGCAGCAAACAAATGATATATCTTTTCCCATCCCCTCTACTCTCTCTAAAAATCAATGGAAAATTATCTCCTACTGAGGATTAAAAATAAATATATAAATAAATAAAATGCTTAAAAAAAGAAAGGAAAAAAATATCCTCGGTGAGGATTAACAAAACACAGGGTTTGAAAAAAGAAAAAATGTTACTACATGTACATAAAGCAAAAATTAAATTTCTGAACTTCAATAAATTATAGGACATAGATGGCACTGTTATTATTAAATCTAATCCTGAATCATGCAATCCTAAAATACACAAAAATACCCAAGTTTACATACCCTGAATTTTTCTCCTTGTGTACAATTTGCCACCAAATGTGTTACTTTGGAATTAAAGTCTTTTCGAATAACTCCACCCATGTGATGGACCAATGTTACCAATCTGACCTCAAAAGAAAAATTAAGCAACATTAGCTTTATAATTAATTTAAATAAAATTTTAAACTATGTTTACAACTTATTGAGCAATAACTGAATACTTTGTTTCATAATGTACATATAGGAATATTTATAAAGGAATATTTACAACAAAAAAATTGAAAGATTCATGTTTTACTGGCACAAAACTATATAATGCCTAGAGGTCCGATGCATGAATTCGTGCACCAGTGGGGTCCCTCAGCCTGGCCTGCAGGATCGGGCCGAAACCGGCTCTCCGACATCCCTAAGAGGTCCCGGATTACGAAGGCGAAAGCCAGTTGAGGGATGCAGGAGGTTGGCCAGCCATAGAGGGACCGTGGGAAAGGCTCCAGGGTGTGTCCAGCCCATCTCATTTAGTCCCAATCAGCCAGACCCCAACAGCAAGCTAACCTACCAGTTGGAGCTTTTGCCCCTGGGGTTAGTGCACATCATAGTGACTGATCGACAAGTCGACTGTTTGCCCTCTGGTAGTCCGTGCACGTCATAGTGAGAAGTTGAGCAGCCTTACCATATCATTAGCATATTATGCTTTGATTATTTGAACAGCCAACCAGAGGACCAGACACTTAGCTTATTAGGCTTTTATTATATAAAATAAGCTAATAAAGATGATCATACAAAACTTAAGCTTTCACAGCTAAAAATATTGCATTTTTTATAACACGAGGTTATATCATAACAAGGTTCTTCCCACAAAATTAGAATAATCTTCCATTACCTCCAGCATAGAAACTTACAAATCAAAGAAGCTTCTATGATCTTGGCTATTGTGCCTCAGTAGTTAAGTGTTGACCTATGAACCAAGAGGTCAGGGCCCGTGCCTGGTTTGCAGGCTCAATCCCCAGTAGAGAGCATGCAGAAAGCAGCCAATCAATGATTCTCTCTCATCATTGATATTTCTATCTTTCTCTCCCTCTCCCTTCCTCTCTGAAATCAATTATTTTCTTTTTTTTTTTTTTAAAGAAAAAAAAAAAAAAGCCCTATCCAGTTTGGCTCAGTGGATAGAAGATCCCAGGTTTGATTCTGGTCAAGGGCTTGATCCCTGATCCCCAACACATATGGGTTGGGAGGAATGGGTGGGAGGCAACCAATCAATGTTTCTCTCTCCTTGTCCCTCTCCCTCCCTTCCACTCTCTCTAGAAATCAATGGAAAAGTAGCCTCAGGTGAGTATTAACAAAACAAATTAAAAAAAAAAAAAGTTTCTGTGTATTCTTCAGGGCAGTAAGCATACTTTAAGGCTGAACTTGTGTAACAAAAAAAGACAAAAACAAAAAAATTGCACTGTGTGCACAAAAATTTCAAATAATGTGGCCAATAGGATACTGAAAAGACAGTTTAAACAGATTAGACAGTTACTAATTTTTTCTGTTATTTCATACGCTAGCCATCCTAGACAAAATATTTGGGGTTTTTTTTACAAGGCTCTTCAGAATATTTCTTCATAAAATTTGAAACTGGTATAGACATAGTAATTTCTCCTCTGAAACTTTGAAAATAAAACCAGGATACATTATCAAAAAGTACCAATTTAGAACATTTGAAATACTTACTAGTTCTTCTTTCTTCCTGAATCCAGTAAAGCATAGTACTAGATTCATCATGCTTGTACAATAGAGTGGACGACATGAAAATGGCAAAGGCTGAAGAATAATTTTAAATCTGTGAGTTTTCTTTATAGTAGAAAATGGAATATAACTTTCTCAAGTTAAACATATCTGCCCTCTTATCAATCAACTATCCCAATCCAAAGATTTAGCTGCATTTTTCAATATGTAATAAAAATAGCAAAAAAATTGCTAGTTTCAAAATAAAATTTCCTCAATTTCCAAATCATATTTGATACATATAAGCTAAGCACACTTTATGATTTGCAAATTAAACACAAATATATTCAAACCTTTAGTTAAATGTACTTTGTCACATGTAAAATATTATCAATAAACAAAAATTTCTGACCCCATACAATACTGTAAATGCTTCCAATTAAAGTTAAAACAAGTCAAATATTTATAAATACTAGGTATATACCTTCCAATTTTTGAGCTAAAAACACGGAGGTAATCAGTAAATATTTTAACCAATTTTAATATATTTATACATATACACACACACACACACACATATATATGTCAGAATAAGAATATACAGATATTTAACAGTTAATGTGTGTATATTTAATTTTGGGCTCTAAAATTTTTATTACGCTTCTGCAAGCAACATTTCTCACCCAAAACAGAGATTTAAAGATTGCCATATGCTTCTTACTAGTATACAAAAACACAATGACTTAAGCAATTTTAAGCTAATAAGACAAGTTTTAGAATGGCAAAACATAGCAATAAAACAAAATAGGGACTAACTCTGCTACAACTCTTATACATATATCATATATATATGGTTTTTATTGTCTAACTTGCAAAAGTCTTAAATGTTCACTACTGAAAATTACAATAGAAAAAAAACAGACAAACAAAAGGACTATATACTAGCTACTACTATTCCTATTCTAAATATTTCATACTCTCGCCGAAACGGGTTTGGCTCAGCGGTAGAGTGTCGGTCTGCGGACTGAAGGGTCCCAGGTTCGATTCTAGTCTAGGGTATGTACATTGGTTGCAGGCACATCCCCGTAGAGGGGGTGTGCAGGAGGCAGCTGGTCGATGTTTCTCTCTCATCGACGTTTCTAGCTCTCTATCCCTCTCCTTTCCTCTCTGTAAAAATCAATAAAATATATTTTTTAAAATAAATAAGTAAATAAATATTTCATAGTTTCAACAATTAACGGAATTTTCCACTTCTCAATTTTCGTGAATGTTTATTAACATTCATTAATAAAAATTTAATCTGGAAAAGTCATAATAAATGTATATTCTTCTTACCTCTCCTTTTTGTGCACAGTTTAATACTACTGGTGGTCCAATAACTCTACAATCAGTCTTGTATAACTCAGTAAAGACAGGATCCTGGAAGTCCATGACTATAAATACATTTTCAAATTCTGGAGAATCCAAACTTTCATATTCTTCTACTGATTCCATCTTTACAAAGGGCACTTTAATTTCCTTGATTTTTTTTCATGTAGTTATAGAAATAAAATGTATTATAAAATTAATTCATATAACTCTCTAATGGTACAAATTCAATACCAAAACTTTAATTTTATATTTGTTGAAAACTTGTTTTAAATCATACCATAATGAACATTATATTCAAGAGTGAACAGTCATTTCTTTAGTTGCTGACTTGCATTTATATATATATATATATATATATATATATATCCATCTACATTAAGATCTTAAATTTTGACGATTTCTCTTATAAAGACCTAAGTTTTGACTTAACTTAACAGTCATTATAAATCATCTTATATGCATATAAAATAAAAATGAATTTAAACACACACATTTTGACAGTAGGATGCATTAAGATATCCATTATTGTTTTTTCTTCTAACCAAGAAAATGATGCCATACATATGGTTCCTTCTTGTACATATAAGTCTTTAGAAAAAATAGAAAACTATGGCACTTGAGATCTTCCAAAAGGATATAGATTAACATAAGCATTTCAGTATATATGAGGAAAATAAGAGAAAGATGTGAACTATGTAGGCAGTTGCAGCATGGCAAGGAGGTATAAAGAAGCAAGTTACTGTTTACCACTTTATGTACATCTATAAAAAAAGAATGAAGATATTTAAGTACCTATATGACTCCCATGTAACAAAACAAAAAAAGAGAGAACCATTTAGAGGAAAATTCTGAATGGTTAAATGATGTGAGTTTTCTTTTGCAGTTTGGTATGATGGGTTGAGTCATGAATCCCCAAGATTCATGTTGAAACTAACCCCCTTATATAATACCTTAAAATGTGACTGTATATTTGATCAAAGGGTCTTTTAAGAGATAATTAAGGTAAAATGAGGTCACATGGGTGAGCCCTAATCCAATCTGTCTTGTGTCTTTATAAGAGGAGGAAATCTGGTGGGGCACACAACAGAGACAGCAGGGATGTGCATACACAGAAGAAAGGTTATTGAAGACACAGCCAGAAAGTGGCGGCTGCCTCCAGGCAAGGAGGAAAGCCTCAAGAGAAGCCAAACCCACTAATACCTTGCTCTTGGGTTCCTAGACCTAGGAACTATGAGAAAATGTTTCTGTTGTTTAAGCCACCCAGTGTGTGGTACTTTGTATGGCAGCCCTCACAAACTATTACAGATGGTACAGAGAATTAAATATATTTCATACGCTGAGGCAAAGTCCCTAATGACTGTCAATAATTATTATTTATAATTTAGAAATAAAGCAAGAATTTAGAATAAAAATCAAGCTAATAAGAAAAAAGATAAAAGAATTTAGAGAAAAGTATTCAGATCTTCGGAAATTCATGATATGCCATTTAAATTTACAATGACAAATTATAAGGATTCCATTATTTGCAATAGATGCAATAGTTTGGGGTTTCAGAAACACCCAAATTTTAGAAATAAATTTAAAATGGTTTCTATTTATCTAGTTTCAGAGTGCACAATATACCCTGCACCTAATTTAGGTCGTCACCATACGTGAAATATAAGAATACAATCAAGGGAAGTGCAGCATGCCACATGCAATGAAATGCTGAACCTACCATATTAACAACACTTTTTATTAATTTTTCATCCGATTTTCCAGGGCAACTTTCTTTTATCTTTATAACTGGTACATCCATTATTTTAATAGTCTGTGGAAAAGAGACTTAAGTATGAGATTAAAACTAAAAATTACTTATATCCTAATGGAAGAAAAACAGCCTTTTTAAAAAGTTAAAAACTTAAAACTCCATACCTTTAAGGCTTTTATAAGTTCTTCTTGTTTTCCAGCTTCTTGAACCAATACCACTCTTGTTTCAACCTGAGGCATTTCTTCTATTAAAATTAAAATGTTTAAATATATTTATCAGGAATTAACATCAAAATCAGTAGTTCCTATTCCCATTTTTTGTTATATCTACTATATTTTCCATCTTTTTGATCATAACTTTCTCTAAAATTGAAATTACTTATTCCCAGCTTATTAAAAAATATTTTGACCACATTCCATTTTAAGGAAGAGAACATATATACAAACATCTACACTCCTCCTAACCAAAGAAAGCATTCGTATCTTGTACAATCATCTTCATCAACAGTGCACTCAAATTTAGGAAAGACCCATTTACATAGTGAGGTAAGGGAAGAAGTCTTTTCACCTAATCAGACATAACTGAATACAATCCAGCTAACACTGTTGCAGCTAGATGGCCCTCACATACAGAAAAAGCAATATCCAATATGACTTCCCCTTCAAGGTTGGGAACATTAATCCATACAATAAAAAGTGTAAAGGGGGAGGGGGGTGTCACTGAGGGTTAGGGGACAGGAGAGATCTATAATACTTTCAACAATAAAGATAATTTTTTTAAATCTATGTAGTGTAAAGATTGTCAACAAATATTTACTGAATACATGTACTCTAACTTAGCAGTGTTCCAGTTAAATGATAACAAGTCAGTAAGTTTAGTATTAAAATAGTGATTTGCAATTTTAAAGCACATTTACCTTCAACATACAAAGTTGGTCCATTAAGTAGGTTGTCCTTAGAAGTTTCAGTAACTTTAGAATCGAAAATGGAAGAGTCTGCCAAGCTGGTCCTCCCAGCACATGTTAGTACACTATTGTCAGCCATTGCTTGTACTCTTCTAAGTTCACTAAAAAAGAACAAATCTGAATAAGGATACATGAAACAAACAGGATCTTTGTGCAAACTCTGCTTTTATACTAGAGTTTATAAAAAGCATCAGCAAAAGAAAAAAAAAGTTCTTAAGTAAATAAAAATAGCCCTAACTGGTTTGGCTCAGTGGATAGAGTGGGCCTGCGGACTAAAAGGTCCTGAGTTTGATTCCAGTCACCAGCATGTATCTCGGTTGCCTGGTTGCTGGTGCATCCCCAGTAGGAGGTGTGCAAGAGGCAGCTGATGGATATTTCTCTCTCATCAATGTTTCTAGCTCTCTATCCCTCTCTCTTCCTCTCTGTAAAAAATCAATAAAAAATATTTTCAAAAAAAATAAAAAATAAAAGGATAAAAAGCATCAGCACCCATCTTTCTTAATAATATATTGAACCAAAGAAAGTTCACTCAACGAATCTGAACCTCTGTTTTCCTCTTCTATAACATAAATACACCAGTACCTGACTCAGTAGACTATGTTACAAATAATCAAAAGTACTCAGGCAGGGCGGTTGGGCATCGACCTAGGAACCAGGGAGGTCAGGGTTTTATTCCAGCACATGCACTATACCAGTAGGGGGCGCTGCAAGAAGTAGCCGATCAATGATTCTCATCAGTGATGTTTTTCTCTCCCTTCTTCTCAGAAAACAATAAAAATATGTATTTTGCCGAAACCGGCTTGACTCAGTGGATAGAGCGTCAGCCTGCGGACTGAAAAGTCCCGGGTTCGATTCAAGTCAAGGACATGTACCTTGGTTGCGGGCACATCCCCAGTAGGGGGTGTGCAAGAGGCAGCTGATTGATGATTCTCTCTCATGGATGTTTCTAACTCTCTATCCCTCTCTTCCTCTCTGTAAAAAAAAATCAATAAAATATATTAAAAATAAATAAATAAAATTGCTCTAAAAATAATTTTTTTAAAAAAACTTATTTTTTTTTAAATTGTCATTTAACCAAAATATTCACTTTCGGTTTCTTTTTCGTATTGAGGCAATCATCTTTCCGGGTGGGGGAGCTAAATGCAATACTGGGGTCTGTCATTGGTGTAACTGACAACTTTAATAATACTGAGACCGTTACAGAACACATCATGATGAACAAGATTTATTTAACCCTTAAATATGTGGCAGGCGGTGCTCTCACGCCTTTTTTGCTTGTGTTTATTTAGTATGGACAACAATCCCAAGAGACGGGCAGGGTTATTGTTTCCAGCTGATAAAGAAGCCTAGAACAACAAAAAGAAACCCCTAACAGAAAGGTTAAGTAACTCTCCCCCCCCCCCCCACAAGGTTAGTGGTAAACCTGGGGTTCAAACCCGGGCTCACCCGAGACTGCGCTCCGGGTTGGGGTTGGGGATGGGGATGGGGATGGGGATGGGGGCGAGGTAGAGGGGAGGCGGATGGAGCGGGATGGGGGGGGGGGGGGGCTGGCGTTTTCTGCACAAACTAAACTGCCCACCGATGGCCCGGCCATGCACTATATACCAGTAGGGGGCGCTGCAAGCAGCAGCCGATCACTGATTCTCATCAGTGATGTTTCTTTCTCTTTCTCCCTTCCTCTCTAAAAACAATAAAAATATATATATGTATTTTTTTTAAATTGTCATGGAACCAGAATATTCACTTTCGGTTTCTTTTTCGTTTTGAGGCAATCATCTTTTTTTGAGGAATCCTGGAACGAAACCACTGCGTCCGAGATGAGAGCACCGAGGGGGGAGCGCCGGGCCCGCCGCCGCGGAGGCCGGGGAGCCCGGCCACGGCCCCTTCCCTCCCCGCTCCCTCCCTCCCTCCCTCCCCCCACGGGCTCTCCGGGGAGAAACAGCCAGCCTGGTGGGCGGCGGCGAAGACACACCACCCGGCGGGCCTCGGCTCCCACCCGCGCGCCCCGCCCGCCCGGCGCCGGGAAAGCGGCGGTGCAGGTCCCGGGCCCGGGACCCGGGAGCGGAGCCCGGAACTGGCGGGCCCCGGGGCGGGGCCGCCGGACCTCTGCCCACGGCTCCCGGGCCGCGCGCGCACGCCCACTCCCCCGCTCCCCCGCGGAGGCCTCACCGCTCTCACGAAGCGCCCTCCGGCCGGCGCGGCAGCTTCACACTCCGGCTCCGTCCACCGTTACCGCCATGCCTCGCAGGAGGCAGCCACTGCCGATTCAAACAGCGAGCCGCTCCCTCCCTAAAAGCCATGCCGATTGGCGCGTGGCGGCAGCCCCTTTCCCATAGGCTGGCGCCTCCGGAGGGGCGGGGATGGGCCGCTTCCCTCCGCCCCTGATTGGTGGGTGCCTGTGTTTCAAATGAACCCAACGTCTCCGACGCCGGGGGACGTCAGAGATTTTTGGAGAGAAGTGCCCGGATGTGGCCAGCAGGTGGCGGTGGTGCGTCCTGGGCGCCCCGGGGAGTAGCAGGTGTGTCTGTGGCGACCCGCTTTGTTTACTTTGTAAACAGCCGGTTTCCTGGGGAAAGTTAGAGCGGATCCGCCTCTCCTACAGCTTTTTTTTTTTTCCTCCTAGAGCCACTAAAGCCTCTAAAGCAGTGGTCGGCAAACTGCGGCTCAAGAGCCACATGCGGCTCTTTGGCCCCTTGAGTGTGGCTCTTCCACAAAATACCACGGCCTGGGCGTTAGAAGTTTAAGTTTAAAATAAAAAAATGTGGCTCTCAAAAGAAATTTCAGTCGTTGTACTGTTGATATTTGGCTCTGATGACTAATGAGTTTGCCGATCACTGCAGAGTCTAAAGGAAATCAGTGCTTCCATAGGTGGTTCCCACACACACACACACACACACACACACCTCTACCCGGGTGATGATCGGGAAGTTTTCTGCCCGAAGGCTTTCTGCTCTGGCTGTTGGGCTGAAAGTGCGCGCAGCAGGGACCAGGACAGGATACCTGCAGGTGCATTTTTTAAATCAGCAGCCCGCTTTCTTTAAACCCTGATGTTAAAGCACTGGACTCCGGTCCAGGGAATTTTGTGGGTGATTAGAATAAGTTCCCTAATATGTCCTGGGCTTTTATTTTCTTAATATAATCTTCCATTTGAACAAATATAAGAATACGTCTGGAGATTCTGGAATCTCCTGGAGCCAAAGTAAATTGTTTCCTGATGTCTTGTCCCCACTCCCACTGTGAGATCTCTTGTTACTTTCTTCTAAAGTCTAGCAAAAAATTTGTTGTTTTAACAGTAATAACTATTGTTATTATGAAACCAGAGATTGACAAAACCGGTTTGGCTCAGTGAATAGAGGGTCGGCCTGCAGACTCAAGGGTCCCAGGTTCGATTCCAGTCAAGGGCATGTATGTTGGCAGCTGATCAATGATTCTCTCTCATCAATGTTTCTAACTCTCTATCCCTCTCTCTTCCTCTCTGTAAAAAAATCAATAATATATATATATATTTTTAAATGAAACGAGAGATTATTTTCGCATGTTATTTTCTTCATTCTCTGAATACAATACCCTATCTCAGTGGTCAGCAAACTCATTAGTCAACAGAGCCAAATATCAACAGTACGATTGAAATTTCTTTTGAGAGCCAAATTTTTTAAACTTAAACTTCTTCTAACGCCCCTTGTTCAAAATAGACTTGCCCAGGCCGTGGTATTTTGTGGAAGAGCCACACTCAAGGGGCCAAAGAGCCAAGTGTGGCTCGAGAGCCGCAGTTGGCCGGCCGGCCACGGCCCTATCTAATACTTTATCTTAAGAAAACCCGCCTTCCTCAGGTGGGTTTTGCATAGTTCCTACCTAATCACTAACTTACACAAAAGAAAGGGGAATCCCATTCAGAGGAAGAAGACTTACTTTTGTTACCAATGAGAGGAGGAACCCTGGACTCTTGTCTTCTGGAGGAAAAGATTTAGATCTAGAAACAAAGTGTAGAGGAAAAAAAAAAGAAGAAGAAAAAAAAGCAAACAACGAAACCGGTTTGGCTCAGTGGTAGAGCGTCCGTCTGCGGACTGAAAGGTCCCGGTTTCGATTCCGGTCAAGAGCATTTGGGTTGGTTGCGGGCACATCCCCTGTGGGGGTTGTGCAAGAGGCGGCTGGTCGATGTTTCTCTCTCATTGATGTTTCTGGCTCTCTATCTCTCTCCCTTCCTCTCTGTAAAAAATCAATAAAATATATTAAAAAAAAAAAAAAAAAAAAAAAAAAGCAAACAAGAATGTATTGACCGCAGCAAAAACAGACTCAGGTGAGGGAAACAAGGAAGGGCATAGAAGCTGCAGGGGAGCCTAGGCTGGACTGCCTTAGGTCTCTGGGAAGTCATAGGGTAGGGGCCTTTGCTCCCCTGGGGGCAGGTCTCATGGGATCCCTTAGAGGTTAGGAGATACGTGCGATATAGGGGGAGAGGTTCCTGCGTGCTCCCTGAAGGGAGAGTCCCCTGGGACCCTATTTTCAGGGGTTTTAAAGGCGGGGCATGTAAGGGAGCTTTTAGGGGCAGATCAATAGAATATTCATCAGCTTCAGGCTGATGTACCAAAATAAGATTTAGTCTCTTAATTTGTCTGTCCTTGGATGTGGTTGGCAAATACCACTTAATTGGATTTCTGTTATCTGTCTCCCTGAATAGGGTGATTAAGCTATTTATCCTCTGTTTGGGGAGAAATGCAGAGCATTTATTAAAGAAATCTTTATTGTTGAAAGTATTACATTTGTCCGTCAAACTGTTTACTCTTAAGTGTCCTTGGTTTAAGGAAGATAGGATTTACTAGGTGGCTGCAAACAGCTATTTAACTATCTGTCTTGGTTTTCCTACATATTCCCCTCGTCCTAGCTTCTTACTATTCCATAACACTTTTAAATGAAACACTTTTGGCCCTAGCTGGTTTGGCTCAGTGGATAGGATGTAAGCTGGTGGACTGAAGTGTCCGGGTTCAATTCTAATCAAGGGCACATGCCTGGGTTGCAGTCTCAATCCCCAGTATGGGGTGTGCAGGAGGCAGCCAAGATGGATGGAATCAATAAAAATTAAAA